GTCGCCTTTTCTTAAACTGTTTATACTGAGAGTCAGTCAGCGGGACGTTGCCTTTTAAAACGTTTAAAACGATTTCGCATATGGCCAAAATCACGTATTTGGGTAAATTTTTTTGTCGGCTTTATTTTTTCTCTTGGCGTTTATCCAAGCGCTTAGAAAAGGGAGAGCTTTTCTTAAACGGGCTGACGTCATTTTAAAAAAAAATCTATGTTTTAGGTACGTACACCACAGATTCTTGTCCGGGTAACAGCCCGCTCCGCAACCTAAATCTTTCTGGCGTTTCGGCTTTAAGATCCACAATTAAATAACCGAAAGGTTTACTCGTAGCGTCCTGGAACGATTCCAGGAAATATTTCGATTGTCCGGGATACATTTGTTTAGCCAAAATTGAAATGTGTAACTTGTCTCTAGGATTTTTAAAAAGTATCAGGTAGGAGGCGTTTAAACTAAGGGTGCGAGAATTCTTTCCTCTATAAAATAGATTCTGCGTCAAATATATCACGCTAAGATTATTGTGGTGAGAATATCTCGTGAAAGCCCTTTCTAATTCTACCGACTGACTCATAACGTCCATCATATCGTCCAGAACGATCAGAGGACCCCCTCCCCCTCCTCCTCCTCCTCCTCCTCCTTCTCCTGATCGTCCTCCTTGTAGTTCAGCGTCGTGCAGGCTGCTCGGTGCTCCTTGAACGAAAACCACGTCGGGCATAAGCTCCAGTAGTTCGTCGTAACTTTTTTGCCAGTTTTCATAAAACCACATGATTTTGCCAGGCTTCCCGTTGAGAGTTTTGGAAGAACATTCCAAAAGTCTTCGCACAAAGCACGTCTTCCCCGAACGGCTCGGTCCGGCCAAAATACATGTAAAGGGCAACTTTAATCTGACGTCAAAATCCATAAGGCACCGTGGTAAAGTCGGGTCTCAGTATTCTCTTGTTATAAATTAATGAAATTTTTTCAGAGCTCTGACGTTCTGCAGAGCCAAGCGTTTTTTGTTTCTTTGAATTAAAGGGGTCTCAGTCAGCAGAGTGTCGGATCGCCCGTGCTAACGTGCTGCTCCACCAGCCGTTTAAAGGAATCAAAATGAAGAATTTTAGAAGTCTCCGGATTAACTGTAAACCCCTTGACCTTCAGAGAAACTTGCCCGCCGGCTGTGACGAAACAATAGCTTTTGGGTCCTGTAGACACAAATTCCTTGATATAATCACCATCCGTTAGCTGATTCGACAGATCACCGAGATAAAACCCCGTGGGAGGAGTGTATTCCCCCGGTTTTGCCGTGAACATGACAGAATCCGTATCAAAATATAACACCCGCTTTTGTAATTTTTCTAGCACATCGTACAGTTTTAATCGTCCGTAAGCCGCCGTGAAAACGGCTACAAATACGTTAGAAACCACGGGTTTTTGCAAATAATCCTTTTCGTACTGCCACTGGACCAAAGCAACGTCGTCGTTAATAAAAGTAAAATAAGAAATGCGTTTATGTTTGCAAAACATCAGTTCTAAAAAGTCACGAGGCTCCGTTATTAATTCCGTGTTCATCCGATTCGTTCTCTGTCCAAATTTCCCCCAGAGAGCGTTCAGAAACAGTTTGCTAATACTCCTCTGAGCGGGTTAAATCCGATTTTTGACACATCCAGTTGGACACCTTCGTGTCGCTTAAACTTAAACAAATAGTCATTTTTCTCAGCGTCGGTGTTCACGCCCGGAGGGAAGCCGCTGGCTTCCACTTTGTTTTTCAAATGTAAATCGATGTATCCTGCGAACAAATCGCAGGAGTTTTGCTCAAAGTGCCAAACCTCGTACACTTTCCCGATCGTGTAGCCGTGGTTTAAACTCCTTTTGATCTCCTCCGTGCAATAAACACCCGTTATGGCTCTCTCTTCTTCCGAATGTCGACACGCGTCCCCGGCCTCCTCCTCCGCGCAGGTTCTACAAAGGGTGAAAACTAATTTGTTTAGTTTATCACATCTAACAGGCAACACGAGGTGGAAAAGATTTCTTGGGGGGTAGATTTTGACTCTGTCAACGGGACTCGATGTCAAAAAATACATGTTTCTGCGTTTGCGCTTCCTTTTGACATTCGCTTTGGGTCAAACCCGGTTTCATCACACCCGTCAAACTACACGCGAAGCAGGAATTTTGGTAAGCATTTAAAAATATAACTAAATGCCTACTTTTTTTTGTAAGTATTTCCGATGACAAAATACTGTTAATCATTCTGGAATAACCTATTCCGCCTCGAAAGTTTCTCACTATCTGAACGTTCAGTGTGAGTGATTTGTCGCTTAACAGTTTTTTATTTGATTGAACAACCGATTCTACGTAATTCAGAAAATGTTCAGCGTTCAGCTCCTCTGCGTTAGTTTGAAATATCACGGGCGTAAACAGGCTTTCACCTTTCAAACTTATTTGGATAATGTCATCCCCCTTGTGAAACCTGTCTGGCTTTTTGTAACAAACGGTCTACTCGGTTGTGCAGAGCCTGCGTGAACTGAATTAAATTCAAACCTGTACCTAGATCCGATAAATTTATTTGATAATTGTATTCACTGTGATTAAACATGGGTCTGGGTCTCTCCCTCACCCCATCCCCCTCCCCACTTGTGGAGGGCCTTCTGCGTGAATTTCAGGGTCTGCCGCCTGACACCTCCGTTCACACCCCGTCGAAGCGCTCCCATTTGCTCCATCGTTAACGTGTGATGCGTGTCCTTCGCTCTGCGGTGGTAACTCCCCCAAAGTCGATGCGTTGATATGCTGCATAAAAACATCCTGATTCGCTCCATCGTCAGCGTGTGAGGTAAAATCCGATAAATCCCATTCGTTCTGCGACGGTAATCCATCCTCAGCTTCGGTCAATATTCCTGTATCGTTTTGCTGAGCGACACTCATTCTATTGAATGAAGTCGCAGCGAAAAGTTCTGTCCACTAAAGTTTCAAGTTCAAACAAATCGACCAGATCTTCGACGTTTAGAAAGTTTACACCTCCGTTTGTCGCAACATGGTCAAATTCGTCGTTCTGTATCCTGTCATCAAAAAAAGATACAGCGTTGTCGTTAAATAAAACATCTCATCGTTGACGTCAAATTAGCAGAAACTCTCGACTCATCAACTCGCTCCTCGTAATCGGAGACCGGGCTGTAATCTGCGATCGACGGTCCATCACCTGTGTTGGCACCGACTTTCAGCGTGTTGCAAACACGGTCGCCGGGTTGTGGCTGACAAACCCCCGGAATCTCTTCCTCCTCCTCCTCCTCCTCCCGGTCCGGTCGTGGCGGCGAGCGGACCGTGGCGGTGATACAGTTGACACAGTTGGTGACGTTGCAAACGATCACGCTGGGTCTTTCTTGAACCGCCGCTGAGTTTGTCGCATCTTTTTCAGGGGTGATACAAATAACTTCATCCACCGCCCCCGCTCTGAGTGATTCGTCTGAACCTGTGCCGCTGAAAGATCGCCACACGATCACGCTGGGTCTTTCCTGAACGACAGCTGAGTTTGGCGCGTCCTTTTCTGGGGTGTTGCGAAAAACACCATCGTCCGCTGTGGATGATTCGTCAGAATCTGTGAGAACCATCGTACTTCTCGCAGATTCGGTGTCAGACTCGTACTCGGCGTCGGTCGATAAGTTTATCACCTCAGCTTCACCCCCAGCAGGGGTATTGTAATTGCTCGCAAACTGGTCCATAATGAGTAACTTTTACAACTATTATGGCTCTCGGCCAGTTTTTATAGTATTGTGAGGAGAAAAACACCACGACACCTGTTCAATTATTAGTCACGCTTAGCAGAACGGGGCCCCCCACTTGCTGCTGTCACTCAAAAACACAACAACAACAACTACGTCATACCATTACATCCTGGGAATCTTTTTTTTCCAAAACACATCTTTTTTCCAAAACACATCCTGGGAATCTTTTGAAAATTATTCCCACGCATCATACCGGGCAAACCTCGGGTAGTTATCAAAAAGCATTCACACACACACACACACACACACACACCATACCCCGACCCAACCACCCCACCCCACCCCACCGACGGTAAGTCCTCGCATCTTTTTTTTTCATCCTTACTCTTAATTTTTCACACCCCTTTAAACTTTTACATAAAATTCACATCATTTTTTTCATTAACACTTCTCAAGAGGGGAAAATTTGTTCACGCTTGCCACCCCTCCCAACACGCACCCTGGGGAAAATTGAACATTTTATCACCGGAAAAAAAAAATTCTTTTACAACCTACAATAGTTGTTCACAGTTTTTACACACATCACCTCCTGGGAAAATTAGTTGCAATTTTCACACGTGACGTCATATAACTGATGTTTACATTTTACACACACCAACCCCCTGGGAAATTTTTTTACATATTTCACATGTGATGTCATACCACTGATGTTTACATTTTTATACACATCAACCCCCTGGGAAAATACTTTACATATTTCACATGTGACGTCACGCATAACTCATAAATCATTTTGACATTTACCGGGGTTAATAACTACTGTTTAATATTTCTTTAGCTTGTTTCAAGAAATCATGCAAAAACCTGCCAAGGTTTTTTTGTTTTGTTTTTTGCAACATATAATCTGGTGACTAGAATGAAGTGTGTTAGAGCTGGAAAAACAAAAAAGTTGTTTTTGAGTTTATGGTGTCCAGCAGACCAGGACTGGGAGCTAAAAACTAGCAGTACTTGTGAAATTCACAGTCAAGTATTGTCTGGGAGTTAGCTGACCCTGACAAATGTGACCTTTAAAACTCATGGAATTAAAGAAACTTTAAATCATGAAATTTCAAAATCTGTACTTGGTAAATCACTTATCATCCCTCCACTCGTCCAAAACTGTAGAACAGAATATAAAAATGTAGAAACTAGATCTAAACTGAAACACGAAGCCTTTAGCATATAGACTTGTTTTCTGCATGTTAACTTGTATGGTCAGCATTGTATTGAGTCCTCACAGTTGGAGGGAAATGAACAGGGTGTTTTTGTTTGTGGTTGATGGTCAGTAGGATTTTATAACAGTTTAAAATGACAGGATGGTTCGCTGGATGATGTCAACGCACTCGCTGATCTCGTCTTCTTTGATGATGAGGGGCGGGGCCAGTCTGATGATGTCACTACGCAAGGGTTTGGCCAGGAGTCCGTTGTCACGGAGACGCAAACACACTCGAAGGGCGTCGTAGTCTGAAAGATAAATGCAGAGCGAGAGTTTAAGCACAGGAGAACATAAACAGTGCGCTGGTTCAACAAAGTGACAATCAAAGATCTTTCCCTTCCACAAGGTCAAAACTTCAGTAACAGAACACACACCAGCCTCTTTAAAAACAGAAAAGTCCGAAGGGTCCAAATTTACTTGGGAAAAGCTTGTTCCACTAATTTCCACTAAAAATGTATTAATGCTATAAAGAGTTTTTCATTATAAATCAGTTATTATTTTCAAAAGCTAGTTATATCAAAAGTTGTGCTGTGGCACCATTTTCAGCTGAGACTTTAAGCAGAGTCGTACCTTTAGTCTCCTTGATGACGATGGCGTTCATCAGACCTTTCCCCCGCACTGTCGTCACTAATTCTTTGGACAGTCTGTTCAGCCCTGCTCTCAGAATATTTCCCATTTTCTCAGCATTCTCTGCCAGTTTCTCCTCCTCTAGAACCTAATCAGATCATATCAGACCCACACACACCATTATCAAACAGTGGACAGATGGGTAAATGGACGGAAACAGCATAAACATCTCTGCATCAATGGAAGGATGGAAGGACAAACCTCCAGGGCAGCAATGGTGACTCTGCAGGCCAGAGGGTTTCCTCCGTAGGTGGAGCAATGCTCTCCTGGTTTAACTGTCAGCATCACCTCGTCATCACAGAGCACTGCAGACACCTGAAAAACAATCGGCAGTAACACCGCTGATTCGCAAAGAGCAGAGTTACACTGCTGACATGCACAGGGCAGAGATACATCATTGACTCGCAAAGGGTAGAGTTACACCGCTGACCCTTAAAGGGTAGAGTCACATCAATAATCCGCAAAGGGCAGAGTTACACTGCTGACACAAACAGAGTGGAGTTACACCGATGACCCGCAAAGAACAGAGTTACACCACTGACCCATAAAAGGCAGAGTTACACTGCTGACCCACAAAGAGCAGAGTTACAACACTGACCTACAAAGGGCAGAGTTACAGTACTGTTAACCTACAGACACACAAATAGGAAAGTTACACTGCTGACATGCAAACAAAGAATTGCACCACAGACACACAAATGACAAATTTACACCAACAAATTCATCAAATAAATAGAAATTGTGCACAAAAATCTGCAGAAAAATGCTACATCTAACTTAGTTCCCTCTAGAGCATGTGTTAACTTAATAATAAATAATAAAACAGAATTTATCCAGGGGTATTCAAACTTTTAAACATTTAAACATGTCTGTAAGTGTAATTTTATATCTCTCTCTCTCTCTATATATATATATATATATATATATATATAGAGAGAGAGAGAGAGAGAGAGATTGATAGATAGATAGATAGATAGATAGATAGATAGATAGATAGATAGGGCTGAAAGCAGTAAAATGGTGAGTACAGAAACTCACAGACAGGAACTACAGATTTAGATTAGGGGTTTTCCCTCAGGTAAATCTGTTCACTGAGACAGTCGTGCAGCACAGGAAGTGGGAAACACCACGGGGTGCAACACATAACGGAACAAGCTCTTCTAGAAGCTCCTCTAAGCTTAGATTAGTGTTCCACTACTCCTGTCTACAACAAACCCTCACACTCAACTCTGCACTCATCGTCTCTGGCCTTTTGATCCTGAGGTTGTGTACATATACAATAAGTACAGACATGTGAGCAAACTGTGGATATTACAGTTATAATCTCACAAAAATACTGAGCAAAAGCTTCTTTATCTTGGCATAAATACAGAAAAATGTGACAAGAATTTGTTGGTTAGAAAAATACAGTTTAGGTTCCTAATTTCTTGTTGCACTCTAGCCATGGATTGCATTTCAGTGCCTGACCTCACAAATGTCCTTTTGGCTAAATGTGCAAATTCCCACAGACACACTCCACAATCTTGTGGAAAGCTTCTCAGAAGAGTGGATGCTGTTATAACCACAAAGGCCAACTCCATATTAATGCTGCTGGTTTTGGAATGGGATGTTTAACGAGCTCATACAGGTGTGATGATCAGACTTTTACTCTGTTAACACATTACCCTTGTTTAGCCTTCTGCTCCTTGTGGGGTAGTGCATGGTGATGTTCAGCTGCAGTGCAATGCTGTGATATAAATGACTCCATGACTGTAGCCCACCATTTTAGCTGGCAAGTTCCTTTGATGGCTGTCTTCAGAGAAGTTCCAGCTACTGCAATCATGAACTTATTTAACTCCAAAGTACACTGAGCTAGAAGTATCATTTACAAGCTAAACAACTGATGCTAACAATATCATGGGAAAAATCAACAAGCAGCAAACTAACAAAAGCAACAGCATAGTGGAGCTCCAGTTCCCCTGAAGACCCTCCACTGTAACAAGAATCCACAAGCTATATGAACGAGAGCTACAATCACACAGAAGTTAGTCAGAACATGCAGCCCCTGTTGCTCTCACTAGTTGAGTGAGATAAAGTGATAAAAATAGGAAACTGCGTTCACTCTGAGGAAATCATCACACATACATCATCTAAACCGCTTATCCTTCTGGGTCACGGTGGGGTGCTGGAGCCTATCCCAGCTGTCATTGGGCGGAAGGCAGGATACACCCTGGACAGGTCGCCAGTCCATCGCAGGGCAGACAGACATACACACACATTCACACCTAGGGGCAATTTAGCATTTCCAATCAGCCTGACTGCATGTTTTTGGACTGTGGGAGGAAACCCACACAGAAATGAAGTTCACACATCCTCTACAGATGACATACATTTGCACATTGAAAACAATTACTGCTTATTTGCTGAATTGAACATATATAAATTGGGGAAATAAAATATGGCCTGTGTGAAAGTTAGAGTGTTTTCCCAATATGTTAAATTTGCAATATGTGTAAATAAACTTTGCCATATTTAATTGTGTTCTCTGTTACGTAATGTAACTGTCCTAACTTCTTAGCTACTTAATCCAGTCCGGTACAGTGACTGCATTACTGCAGCCACCTGTCCCAGCCTGCGACTGATCTCCCGATCCCTCTTCCCATCACTCGTGAACAAGACCCCTAGATACTTAAACTCCTCCATTTGGGACAGGTCCTCTCCTCTTAGCCGGAGTGGTATGCCATCCTTTTCCAGGCCTTAAGAAACAGAACTACATAATAATTTTATACTGTTCCTTTTATAATATGCCTTTGAGGTTTTCTTCTATCCAAAGAAAGTTTGGTGTAGAAGCCTCCAGGTACACAGGAGCTCTTCCCAGAAGCACCAAATGTGGCTGTGTATTCATTTCAGTGAGGATCAACACTTCCAGACATTTCCAAGAACTGTCGAGAGAATGTGTGTGTGTGTGTGTGTGTGTGTGCGCCACTCACTGGATAGACTCCTCCAGCCAGAGCTTTTCCCAGAACCACCAGGTCCGGCCGCACAGCCTCATGGTCCACAGCCAGCCTGCGGCCCGTACGAGCCAAACCCGTCTGCACCTCATCAGCAATGAACAGAACCTGTAATGCACACAAACACGAATGTCAATCACAAGAAACATTCGCCTCAGATTTACTCCACAAATACCAGTGCAGAAATAAAAGACTTATAAAGTTTTTAATAAAGTTTGTTTCACTTATAAAGTTTGTTTGGGTTTAATTATCAGAAACAGTCATAAATCTTTTTTACATGATCATGTTTCCACCTCTCTTTATCCCTTTAGATTGAATTTACATTTACATTGTACTTAATTAGTTCAAACTGCTGAGATAAAAGTTAAATATATACAAAATTATCAAATTAGAGTTCCTTCACTTTAGAGCAGGAAGTGAGGCTGCATCCCTGTCCATCATGGCCACATGGTGAGCAGTTTGATCCCATTGTTTTGAAGTAAATGTGTCCCAAAGTTTAAAAATCAGTGTGGAACATTAAGAATCGTCACTACTGAAACACATATTTTCTGCAAGTAAACTTTGTGTTTTAATTAGAAATATTATAATTTTATGTGTGTGTCACTTCCAAAACCGACACTACTGAAACCTCTGGTAAAGTCTGGGTGGTGTTATGATTGTTCTAGTAGTAAGTTAATGTTAATGGTTTTCTTTAATAAAATAAACATAATTAGGGTACAAGATTAATCAAAGCAAAAGCAAAATCCCCTTAAAGAAATAAAGCAGTATTTTACTACAAATGTAGTCAATCAGATGAGACATGTTTGGTATCGGAAGCTTCTGTAGTTAGTTCACTGGAGGTACAAGGCTTACAAAAGTTTGGGCACCTGCAGCAAAATTAAAGAAAGTGTTGATTTTCTGAATGTGTAAATAAGTTAACACCTCCTCTACAGACAACACACTTTATAACAGAGTTACTGTTTATTTGTTGAATTTAACATTTTGAGGGAAAAAGACATAAAACGTGCTATGTACCCAAATTTTGCACAGGTTTTATTTCTTTACACTATGATAAATTAAGCACATAAACAGTAATTGTGCATTGAAATTTATAGACACATGGCATATTTAGGGCGGCATGGTGGCGCAGTGGGTAGTGCTGTCGCCTCACAGCAAGAATGGCCTGGGTTCGATTCCCGGCTGGGCGACCAGGGTCGTTTCTGTGTGGAGTTTGCCTGTTCTCCCCGTGTCTGTGTGGGTTTCCTCCGGGTACTCCGGTTTCTCCGGGTACTCCCACAGTCCAAAAACATGCAGTCAGGCTGATTGGACATGCTAAATTGCCCCTAGGTGTGAATGTGTATGTCTGTCTGTCTGCCCAGCGATGGACTGGCGACCTGTCCAGGGTGTATCCTGCCTTCCGCCCAATGACAGCTGGGATAGGCTCCAGCACCCCACCGCGACCCAGAAGGATAAGCGGTTTGGATGATGGATGGCATATTTAGAGTGTGTCCCTGTAGAGGATGTATTAACATATTTGCAATTAGAAAATCAACAAAACATCATTTGACTGGGGGTGCCCAAACTTTTGCAAAACACTATAGCTAACAAGCAATGGAAGCTTATACTGCACCAATTAGCATCGAGCTAACTGCATGCCTAAGTCATCACTCACTCAACTCAAACCATGTTGAGTTATTCAGTATCTCTTAAAGTCTTGATTATGTGGTTTCTTGGACACAGTTATTTATAAACAAGGGCAAATGGAAAATATTACAGATTTATTTAGCCAAATATGACTTAAGGGTCTGTATACTGCATTTTATTCCATTTTGTGAATTCAAAATTAGCTGTTTTGCAGCTTAGTTTTCATATATGGTGCTATGTCCTGGCCTCTTGCTAGGTCACCCCAGCCACTAGTGGGAGAAAGAGAACAAAGACGGGCTGATTAGGTGTCAGCCACCACGTGTGGTTGCCAGGTACCCAGCCTACACCATGATGGCTCCTGGACTCTCGTCAGGTGCGGGTGCTACCCAGTACTTGGTGGACTGGGAGGGGTATGGGCCGGTGGAGAGATGCTAGGCCCCGGCTCATCAAGGCCTTCTGGAGAAATCATGCAGCAGGTATTAGAGAGTCGGGAGCAGTCCCTTGGGGGTTACTGTAACGTCCCAGTATCCTGCTAGGCCACCCCCAGCCACTAGGGGGAGAAACAGAACCAAGACAGGCTGATTAGGGCTGACTGGTGTCAGCTGTTGAGCTCCCTTTTTATGGAGAGCTAACCCACAACTCACTGCACAGTCTTGAATTCACCATTGCCATGTGCACGGCTCTCTGACTAAGCCGGTACTGGTACTGGTTCTTTCTTGAGTCTTGGGTTTTGTGATCTTCATTCTTTACAGAGTAAATACTTCAATGTAAGAATGAAAAAAAAAACTTTTTAAGTTTTCTAACTCCCAGCCATTAAAAGGAAAAGGGAAACTATCTAAATGAACTAAAAGAAACAAAAAAAGGAGTTTTTGTGTTCATTTTGAAGTATCTAGAGTTTGGGTTTGCCATTGTGTTTAAGCCGACTGTTTTCCCTGAGAACTTCTAATTATTGTTTTTCTTTGCATTTACACTCATTTGCGAGTCCTTCCAAGTCTCTACTGCTCTGCACTTGAGCCCACCCTCTCACACTTGGGTGATAGCTTACCCCATAGTGTTCTGGTTCCTTAACAAGGGGACTGCCAGTTTAATCCCCAAGCAGGGTAAGCCAATCACCCTGTTATAGCAAGGCTGAGCCTGACCATAGATTCAACAGAGCAGTCCCAGGTCAAATAGCTGAGAAATGCCCTAGCCAACAAGGGCTCGGTAGTTGGCCATCATGAGCAGCAAATACTAACACAGCTGCAGGGGCTTGCTGGGACCCTTGCTGAAGCCCATTGGGTTGAACCTCTAGGCTGAACTCAACCTGGCTTCCCCAGAAAGATATGGTGGGGCTCCTGGGTGTTTCTGGTTGTAAGGGGTTTCTCCTACATTGTGAATTAGCCTTTGAGTAGCAGCCCTCAAGGTTGCCCACTGACCAGTCCAAAGTAACTCATTTCATCTTGCTGCTTACAGATCAAGCCCTGGAAAGTGAGTCCACCACATAAAGCTGTCAGAACTGTTTATGGCTGCTTTGCATTGTACGTTTGGCCATGCAGTTTGTGGAGGGGTGGGGCTCGTGTCCTTCAACTAAGGCATGGCAAGTCCTAAGTGGGAGACTATGCCATTGAGTTCCACATTCTGGCCACAGAGAGTGGTTGGAATGCAGAGGCATTAATGGCCACTGGATGTCAGTAGTAAAGTAAAGGGTGAGCTGGCCACCCAAGATGTTCCTGTCTTACTTAAAAAGCTCATTGAACATACCCAAAGCTAGATCCAGCTATGGGTGCACTGTAGGGAACAGGAGTCCATGCGCCTGTGGTACAGGATCCCATCCCCAAGTAATTTAGGGCCTCCATTGCACCCTGTTCCTTCCAATTGGCCGATCAGCCCATACAGTTGGGAAGTATGCACCCTTCTCGCCAGCAACACGATTATCGTATGTGAGAAGGCAAATGTCTCTACTGCAGGCAATCCAAATGGCTGGGCATATCCTCACTGGCACCCTCTCATGGAGGCAAAATTTCAAAAAGTGGCTCTAGGTATTTGTGGACTCTGGGGCAGCAGGTAATATTAATAATGTCATTTTGACCAAGACCCTTAACCTGCACCTAGTCAACTTAGAGTTTTCTGTACCAGTCACTGCCGGTCTGGCAGTCACCATTTTGGGGCAAAGCAGGTAAAACAGCAGACCTCACCTATCACTTGTAGGTCAGCACAAGAAGCAGATTTTTTTGCTGCTAATCCAGGCACCTGAGTTGCAGCTAGTATTAAGTTTCCCCTGGCTACAATGGCACAGTCCATGGCTGGATTGGCTGATCCGGTATTTGGCGGGCTGAGGTCTCAATGTAAAGGGACCTGCACTGGGGAAACCTGTGGTGGCCTCCAATCAGATTGAAACTCAATCAGTCAGCCCTGACTTATCTAAAGTCCTGGCAGACCTCTGTTGGAGGTCTTTAGCAAGCACAAAGCCCAAATCCTGCCCTCTCATATGTCCTGTGACTGTGCCATTGACCTTCTTCCAGGCTCCACCCCTACCCAAGGGAGACTGTTTTCTCTCTCAGGTGCTGAGAGAGCAGCTATGCATGAGTACATCAGGGAGGCACTAGCATTGGGTTTCATCCAGCCATCCACCCGGATTCTTCTTTGTAGAGAAAAAGGATGGCAGCCTTCATCCCTACATTGATTACTGAGGTCTCAATAAAATAACCATCAAGGATCATTACCCCTTACTGCTGATGACTCCAGCTTTTGAGGCACAGCAGCAGGCCTCAGATTTACTAAATTGGACTTGCACAGTGCCTACAACTTCATTAGGGTGCACCAGGTTAATGAGCGGAAGACAGCATTCATTGCCCTGTCAGGCCATTAAAAGTATCCTCATGATGCCTTTCAGGCTAATGAATACACCAGCTGTATTCCAGGATTTCGTTAACAAGGTGCTGTGAGATACCCTGAACCTCTATGCGTTTGTCTACCTTGATGACATCCTCATATACAGCCACTCAATGGACAAGCATGTTGTGCCTGTCCGCTGGGTTCTCCAGCTTCTGCTTGAAAACAGTCTTTACATACTTTACAAGCTGAGGAAATCAATCTTGAAATCAACCTCAGTTGGTCAGCTTTCTCTGGCTAAACCTCCATTATGGAATGGCTGCACCCAACTTCCCTCCTGTCAGTTCTAAGCTTTATTTCGCTTGGTTTATTCAGATCTTAATTATGGTGGCTGCCCTGTTGGGCTGGAGGGAGCAAAACACCCTTTCCTGGTCTCGACGAATCACAAGAACTTGGCCTATATTCAACAGGTCAAGTATCTTAATCCATGCTAGGCCAGGTGGGCATTGTTCTTCAGCCATTTTTGACTTTGTCCTTTCATGTTGGCCAAGGTGAAAGAACACCAAGCCTGATGTCCTCTCCAGACAGTGGGATGCACCTCCTGTTAACCAACCTCCAGAGCCTATAATTTTAGAAGCCCAAATTGTCGTCCCTTTACAGTGGGGACAGGAAACCACCATCCAGGAGGCACTTTGGGCTGAACCAGACCCTGGGGGTGGCTCAACATGGAGAAGGATGTACAAGGCTATGCAGCAGTTTTCCAGGTCTGCACTAAAAACAAGGAGCCCAGAATGGGACTGACAGGCCTGCTCCATCCCCTGCCCATACCATCTTGGCCATGGTCACAGATCTCCTTGGACTTCATCACCAGCTTGCCTGTGTCCCAAGGTGACACAGCGATCATGGTCATGATTGACCAATTTGCCAAGGGCATCTTAAGACATAAACAATGCAAAACCACTTACCAAATCCTAGCACATTATGCAATTGTTCTGGAACCCTTGTGAAGCACACAGCGTTTCTCATACACTGTGTAATGGACAGGTGTTTTACTTACATTTTGTTTGGTGCAGAGCTCTCGGACTTTGGTCAGGTAACCTGGGTCAGGAACCACCACACCTGCATCACCCTGGATGGGCTCCACCATGAACGCAGCCACATTGGGATCCTGCAGGGCTTTCTGTATAAACACACCAATCATTTAACTTCAGCGACTGGACAAGAACCACACAGAAGAGAGAATAAGGCTACATTCACATTACAAAAGCACAACTTTCATGTATTTCACAGTATCAGATGATAAGTTTGTATTAAAAATAATAAAGCATTCAAAAGACAGTGAGCATGTGAGCTTATTCAGATCAGTAAGTGCTTGTTATTGATTTATTTAATCAGAGTAATGATATCTGATTTCAATGCATGCATTTTGCAAAATACCCACTAAAGGATATAAATTGCAGTCAAGTTTTTATCATCAATCAATATCACCAAAACTAAGAATCGACCCTTATGTGGACACTGATATGAGGTAAGCCTCATATCAACTACTGTGAACACACCTGTGCTCTGAAATTATCTGCACACACTTATCAAGTTTAAGCTGCTGCACAAAAAATCTGGTCATACTGTATGTCCACTCTTCTGGGAAGGCTTTACGCTATATGTCGGAACATTGCTGTGAGGATTTGATTGCATTTAGCCACTATGGAGCTCCATCACTCCAGAGAACACAGTTTCCCTGCTCCACAGCCTAATGCTGGGGGCTTCATACCTCTCTAGCCCACACTTGGCATTGGTCATGGTGGCCTTATGCTCATGTGCAGCTGCTTCATTCTGTTGTTCTATTGTTCAATACTTTTCTGTGGAGATTATACAAGCTGTGTGTGCACAATTGAATCAGCAATTAGTACATCTTATGGTAGTTTAATTCACTCATCAGAGGGCTGTCTGGACACTGTTGCATATGTTGGACATGTAGTCTCTAATATTGAAGTCATCCAAGATCTTCAAGCTGAAAAAAATTATAATGTTAATGAAGCCTAGAGTATACACTGGAAACTAAAAGGCAACAATAAGATTAATGAAGGCAACGATAAGGTTAATGAAGGCAATTATAAGATTAATGACCAGTGGTACCTCCAGGGCAGGGATGTTGTTGTAGGGAACCACCTCAAATCCAGGCATGAATGGACCAAAACCTTCGGAACTGCTGGGGTCAGTGCAGCTGGAGATGGCCGCCATCGTCCGCCCCCAGAAATTATCCTCTAAACATAAAGAGAGGAGACAGGAATGGATTAAACCAATCACAGAGAGACCTCCAGAGCATTACAACAAAATACACAGACAATGAGCTGCTTAGCTTAACATACTGTGACAATACTACTATTATATTGTCTATTAAATATCTATTTTAAATATATATATATATTTTACAACTACTGCCACGTTATATACAATAATAAATAAAGAGTATTATAAACTAAAGTAAACATAGTTTAGAAAACACAATAAAAATGAAATGGCAAACAATATTCTATTCTAGTAACTGGCAATTTACAGTAAATGTCAAGCTATCAGCCTCAAGATCTGATCACCACTTTTGAAATATGACACGTTCCTCAATCTTGATGTTGCATCATACTTCATTTCCGAATCATCTATAGCTCCATTCATAATTGTAGACATATTTAACATTTCTTAGTATTTTACAGATTTTGATTTTATATTGCAGAACACATTGATGATTTTTTTTAGCTTTAACATGATAAACAACATTAACAAGTTCCTCTGAAAACAGTAAACTACTTTCAGAAATTAATTATTCCATCTTATGCATATTGCCACTTTTTAATGTACATTCACAATTAAACATTAATTTCATGTAGAATATCTTTAACTCTTCTGTGGTGGAATAAAAGACCTACCTGCAAAGATTATCTTTGCTTGATATTTGGGAACGCCCTTCACATTGTACGCCCATTTTCGTGCCAGCTTGCAGGCCGTCTCTCCACCTTCGACACCTTCAGGATTCAACACAAAAAGAAAACAGAATATCCTTTACACGCTGATTCACCACTAGGCAAAAGGTTAATCCTTACACTGTGGAATGGAACTGGAAGGAACACAATGCAGGTTTGTGCAGAACATTGTGCTGACAAGTGTAATTGCTATGAGGAATTAAAGAGATTGTCCAGTGAAAAGCAAAGCATTTCTAACAGATATGTTTTCATTGGCAGTTTTCCAAATGGACACAAGCTGACAAAAGTATGTTGCATAACTAAAACCAGCAGCAGCAGCCATCATCAAGCCTGAACTTCATATGTACTTTCATCCATATTTATAGATCCATATTTATAGAGTATGCCGTACAGCGGGAGTAAATGGACATAAAACTTTGCATTGGCCTTTCGGACCACCAAAACAATTTGTGAGGTGAGACACTGATGAAGCATGAGAGGGTCCGGCTTGCAATCTCTGTTCTAGTTCATCCCAAAGATGTTGGATGGGGTTGAGGTCAGGGCTCTGTGAGGGTCAGTCAAGTTCTTCCACACCAAACTCCAGTCAGGCCTTTATGGAGCTGCTTTGTGCACTGGGGCTCAGTAATGCTGGAACAGGAAAGGTTCTTCCCCAAACTGTTCCCACAAAGTTGTAAGTGTGCAATTGTCCAAAATGTCTTGGTGCTGAAGCATTAAGATTTCCCTTCACTGGAACTAAGGGTTCTAGACCAACCCCTGAAAAACAGTGCAGTCAGGCAGGTAACGTTCTCCTGGCATTCACCAAACCCAGACTCGTCCATCAGACTGACAGATAGAGAAGCTGATTGGTCACTCCATAGAATATGTTTCCACTGCTCCAGTCCAGTGGCGGCGCTTTACTCCACTCCAGCCGATGCTTGGTATTGTGCATTTTGATCTTAGGCTTGTGTGCAGCTGCTCAGCCATGGAAACCCATTTCTTGAAGCTTCTACTTTTGCTGATGTTGCTTCCAGAGGCAATTTGGAACTCTTTAGTGATTCAACAGAGGATCGGCACTGTGCACTTCAGGACTCACCGGCCCAATCTGAAATTTCAATTTGAAAGAGGCACATTTTTCATCAGAGGAGGTTCTACTCACCTGTGTTCATGGGCAGGACTTTGTCATATCCAAACAGATTGGTGATGTACTCCTCATACACACCCAGGACGTCATTATAGAAGGCTCTGGAGGAGATGGTCAGTTTGGAGGCCTGGGTGTTGAGGGCAGCAATGATTTTGGGGTGGCAGTGGCCTTGGTTAACTGTGCTGTATGCACTGAGGAAGTCATAATACCTACGACCCTCTAAGTCCCACATGTGGATGCCTGAAAAAGACAAAAATCATAACATAACATTTGCAATGTTCAGCTTATTTCTGTTCTATTTAACATGAAGACTAACACTAGTGATTTCTTGCTAGCCAGCATGGTCATTAGATTTGGTGCACAAAGAGATCCTGGCTCATTGGCCACAATTCTATCTACCAAATGACTTCAATTCTACACTGTAAAATGGTGTCTTGTCCAGTGAAATGATCTTAAATCTAGTGACATATCTAATATTTCCCATTTTGAGATGTTTTTACTTTTTTGTGCATTTATTTAAAGATTGTGTGTACTGTCTTTTTGTCACTGGTGTTACCTTACTCCTTTGGCACTATTAAAGGCTTTTATGAAATATTATTTCCCAATCTTCTCAGCACATGTAGTCAGAATTACAAAAGAATAATGATAATGCAACAAACCAGGAGATTATTCTTTCATCTGTTTTAATTAGGTCTGTTAAAAATGTGACTCAATGATGTTTTTTTCACTTGCACAACCATATATTTGTTATAACAGGGAAAATATTTAAAAAAACAGTTATAAACAAGTAATGATGAAATGCCTTAAATCTGAACTTTTGAATGTAGCAAAAGTCTATTAATATAAAATTATTGTCATGTCATATGTGACACATTTTTGTTTAATGTGACAGAAAAAACACAGTAACACCAGCGACAAAATGAAACACGAGTGACATACATAAGACCAAAGGTCCCCCAAATCTAATTAAGAAAGTGAGAATAAACTGTGACTCTGGCATAAAATCAAAGGTTATCACTGATACTTAATGAAAGCACTTAGTAGAAGACGTAAGTCATGAACAACAGTTTAAAATACGTAACTTTATTAGAAAACAACTAAACCTGTCCAACTCAGTACATTGTCTAAACTGCACTTCTCCGCTACTATTTTATGTCATGCTATGTTACCAGGTTATGATTAAGAAGAGTAAAGTGGAACTGTCCCCATTTTTCATTGTATGGTTAGATCAATTTCAAACCTTCCATTTTTAAGTAAAATTTTAGCAAGAATTGTTTTCAGAGAATTAAATGTGTATCAAACATCAAACAAGTTATATAAGAAGTTTCAATCAGGTTTTCATTAGAACCATAGTACAGAGACCGCACTGATTCGCGTTATGAATGACCTCTGGCTCAGCGCTGATGCACAAAATCCTTCTTTTCTGGTCTCACTGGATCTTAGTGCAGCTTTTGATACCGTTGATCACAAGATTCTAATACACTATCTTGAATGCTGGGTCGCCTCTCAGGAACAGTTTTAGAATGGTTTAAATCATATTTAGGTGATAAAGAATTCATGGTGTCAATGGGAAATCATTCATCAAAAAATGTAACATTTCTTGTGGAGTCCCTCAAGGTTCAGTTTTAGGGCCTTTGCTTTTCTCTTTGTACATTTCCTCTGGGTGATGTCATTAGGAAACAAGAGAGCAGTTTTCAAAAGTTTGCTGATGACACCCAGTTATACATTTCTATTCCTTCTGATGATCAAGACTCTGTAGACAGACCGACCAGCTGTGTGTCAGATATTTCTTGGATACTTCTTTACAACTCAATCATGAAAAAACCTTTGCCTTTTCTCTCTCAGAGCGACGCAGAGAAACTTGTTCAAGCATTTGTTACAGCAGAGTTGATCACTGTAATGCTCTTCTTACTAGACTTCCTGAGAAAACAATCCATGCCTCACAACTCATACAAAATGGGGCAGCACACATCCTAACAAAAACAACACAGAAAGATCACATCATATCTTATATTCAACTCTCTTCTACCTTTCACTTAAATCATTTATTCTCTTCCTCTTTTTCGCCAATGTCTCTGGCATAGCCCTGTTTCCTTTTCTGCAAGCACTCTGCTCTGCGTTCAGGACCAGCATCACTCAATTTAGCTAATACAGACCAATAGAGGATTAACAGTGATAAAGAAAAGCTATAATCATGAAATCTGTGTGCTATTTTATGAAAAAGAACTCAATGAACAGCTTTGAATAACGTTTATCTATACACAGGAGTCACTGGTGTTACTGATCCTCATTGGTGTTCCACATAATAAAGGAACACCAGAGACATTTTAATGAACAATGCATTTAATAAAATGGCGGCTGCAGAGCATCAAACCACATGTTGTCATTCATGGAATATCCACTAAAATATGGAATTTAATCCATTTGTATTCTATTTTTTTCACAGTTACCTCAGAATAAAGTCGGTCACACCAGTGACTTCAGCTAAAAGCTTCATATGAAATCATGAGCTAAATGAGAAAATCTCTGATAACTGAAAGACACAGTGGACTCACCATGAGCTTTTCTTCATAGATCCTCAGAAAACAGGTAAAAGGAAGTCAAGTGATGTCATCAGTGTGACTTTTATTTCAGAATAAGAGATTTTTTGTTACGCGGTAACACCAGTGACACGACTCCTGGGGACAACAACTTTCAAAATTGCAGAAAAATGTTTTTACCTCAAAATATGGCCTCAGCCTTCACACATGACTGTGGGGACGAGCTCTTCTGTGGTGTTTGGAATTCTATATGATTAATTTAAAAACCAATATTGCTAAACTGATGACTCAAGGACGTGTAATTGTTAAAATAACCTATAGTTTTATTTTAAAATATAAATAAATTGTAACCCTAATGTGTTTTTCAAGTGTAATTTATCTGTAAAATTGATGTTTCTGTAGAAATAGGATTATTTACCTTATTTTCAGACATTTTTTTACTTGTTTTAAGTCATTTTATTAGGTAAAATTATCTCACTATTATTTGCAGATAATTTTGCTGGTTTCAAGCACATTTCTTAAAACAAGCAAACCTATCTGCCAATACAGTGAGATAATTTTACTTAATAAAATGACTTAAAGCAAGTAAAAATATCTGAAAATAAGGGAAATTACCTCAACAGGAGAAATATTATTGACTATTGATTTATTGACTATTGTAAGGGCCCAGCCTGTGCCGCCAGCCACCAGCAGAGGGCGATGGCAGCGAGGCACCACAAGTTCAGGGAACTCCAATTCCCAGAAGCGCTCAGGCTGATTGGGCCCAACCTGGCACACCTGTGGACTCCTCTACTTAAGACTGTGGCAAACAGCAGCCCTTTGTCACACCTTTGTGGAGGGGTGACCAGTACGGTACTTAGCTCATGTGGGTATTTAAAAGAAAAGGAAAAAACAAAAAGGAAAGAGGGCTGGAAAAACAAAAGAAAAATCACCCCAAAACTACTTAAAAGCCAAAAAGAAGGCTTGAACAAGAAATGGCTCCAAGCCAAAGTGTTTGTTCCACAAAGAGCAAATAGAGGAAGTCACAGAGGAAGTGTCTTTTGTTTTGTTTTTTTTTGTTGTACTGGGAAGCTCTTGCATATATGCATTTAAGCTTTATTCTATATACAGTCACATGCAAAAATCTGAGTATGCCAATAAGGTCAAATTTACATGTTGATTTTTCTATGTGAAGTGTTCAAAACATCCTCTACAGAGAACAAACCTATTTTTTCTGTAAATTTTACTGCACTATTTCTATTTATTTTGTGAGAAATAAAGAAAATATACAATGTGCCATAACTTTTGCACAGGTCACCTGGATTTTTAACGCTTACAGTGTTAAACTCCTTGATTGGACTGTACGGTATGAAAAGTTAGTGAGTGTCCGGCTGGTGTGTGGAGTCTGTACTGACCCTCTCCTCTCTCCAGGACCACGGGCAGCGGGTGGTAGTTGTGCGCTCCGTATCGATTCTCGCGAGCGTACACTTCCTCTGAGGTGGCTGTCCGCGTCCCAGACTGCACTGCACGGCTCAGGGTGGGGACAGCCCAGGCCAGGCAGGTCAGACGAGTCAACATGTCCTGCATTATTACACATAAAGAGGAGAGAACATGTTAAACAAGTGCACCTCCTTTGGCCTGTACGGAAGGAAGTACACCTCCTGCTTAACGGAACTCCACCTAAGAAGACAACGATTGGCTCATGATCTGCTGAATGTTTTAGTTGTATTGGCTCAGTGTTGAAACATCAGGAGGAATTACAAAGTGCTCCATGTAAATGATGCGTATATGAGCAAAATAAAAGAGCAAAATAAAAAAAATGACAGTGCTTTCGTGAGTCTAAGTTCCACTTCTCCCTGATAATTTCCTTCCCTATTGGAAGCTCTTTTCCTATTGGACAGGCTTGACTTTGGGCTTAAGTTACCTGGCTAAACTATGAAATTCTGTTTGTGTGTGTGTGTGTATATATATATATTGTATGAAACATTTTACTGTTATTTAATAATGTTCACTAACAGTGTTGGAAAGTTATGAGTTACAGAAATGTAATCACTTTAATGAAGTGATGTCAGTCAGTTTTTATCCTTTATATTAGGTTAGATTGTCAGATTAGTCATGCCTGTCTTTCTATAAGAGATATAAAACTAATGGATAAAAATCTGAGTGCTGAAGAAGAACAAACTCCACATAGTTTAGAGCCCATGTGACAAACACAAGGTCCACACAATCCTCAACCGTCAACTCAGCAGCTCAGAAACTGAGGCAAAGTCTTAATGAACTTGCAGCAAAGAAAAGTTTCCAGGTGTCGAGTTCAAGCACATAGGTAGGTTTAAAAGACTGAGCTTCTGGGAACATTTAAATTTAGAATATTTCAAGTGTCCATGTAAAATTTCAAGCTCTACTAGTGTGTCTGTATTTTACTGTTCAAGTTTTTGCATATTTTAAATAAACAATGACCAGTTGAGGTTACAGCACAACATTAATTAAAAATGAAAAAACTTTTTTCTCTGGCCCACAGATTTGAGATTTTTAATATGACCTCTTTACTGGTTGAGTTCGACACCCCTGGTTTAGAGAGCAGCAGAGTAACACAGAAGTAATGAGTAGTGAGATCACTACAGGACAAGAAGGACAAGGTAGGAGTTTACAATAAAGTGGACATTGAAGGTATGCAGGCTTTATAAACCAAGTACAGGAACACAATCCAAATATTCATTTAGTTCAGCTCAGAATCTTATGATTGTACTCACCCCAGCTCTCTGCTCCACAGTGATTATAATGACCCGTCAGTAGAGTGTAATTTGTAGAGTTAACATGAAACTATCCACCTTCTCAATGAACAAAGTGAAACTGTTCCGGCATACTTATCCTCAACCACCCTCACCCCCAAACCACCCCCCCACAAAAAACATGGAGTCATAGTGACACGTGGTTGGTACTGATAAATTTAATGTAATCTGACTGACTGGTTTTGCTCTCTGAAAAACAACAACAAGGAGAAGCTTAGTGTTGCACACGTTAAACAGCCAGAAAGAAAGCTTTAGATTGTTAAACTTCTTTTTGTTTAAAATAATCTGAACGTACCCAAAAAACGACATACATTACCATTAAAGTCTCAGGTAACCGTAACCTGAGTAAAATATTAAACATATTTGTGTGATACTGAAATGGAGTACATCCAAGTGTGGAAAAAGAAAACAAACAAAAAACAGGATAAAAAATATGGTAAAACTGAGAAATGTCACGGGTTATAATATTCTAATGAGCACAACTGATTGACAGTCCAACATCCAAGACTGCCACCAACTATGTTTCCTAGTTTAGCTTTCGCTTGGTTGTTAAGCTTAAACTTTAGACAAAATGCTTCAGTCATTTATGAATATTGGAAATTTAAGCAATATTTTGAGATGTTACCCATGAAATCGTGGTGATCCTGAAAGTTAAAGCTCTAGAGAACCTGAAAACATGTTCAGGTTAATCAAGTTAGTCTTGCTCTTGTGGGTTTAACTTTGGCTATGGCTTAAACTAAACGGCAGTATCACAGTGTGGCAATATCACCAGTATACAGTTCAAATGACACGTTTTCTGAAGTGAAAATAAGTTCAAATGAACACATCCTCTACAGAGAACTTTAATGCATAATTACTGGTTATTTGCAGAATTTAATATATATAGGGGGAAAAATTAAATGTAAAATATAGCCTGTGCAAAAGTTATGAAACATTTTCAATTAGATCCGATTCGTACAGGTTTACTCAAGGAAATTTTGCCAGAAATAACCAGGCCTATTCTGCCAATAATAAACTCTTCTCTTAGCCTTGGGTACATCCCAAAATCTCTTAAACTAGCAGTAATTAGACCGCTGATTAAGAAAGCGAACCTCGATCCCTGCGAACTATCAAATTATAGACCCATCTCGAATCTCCCCTTTATATCAAAGATCTTGGAAAAAGTTGTAGCAAAACAGTTAAGCTCCTATTTGCATAGAAATCAAATACACGAAAAAATTTCAATCTGGTTTTAGGCCACATCATAGTACAGAAACAGCACTAGTAAAAATTGTAAATGATCTATTATTATTTTCTGACCAAGATCATGTGTTCTTGTTAGTCCTCCTCGATCTTAGTGCGGCATTTGACACAATAGACCACACTATCTTACTAGACAGACCAGAAAACCTTGTAGGGGTAACAGGAGTAGCTCTTTCCTGGTTCAGGTCCTACCTCACTGATCGCTATCAGTTTGTTAATATAAACTGTGAATCATCTGTTCTCACAAAAGTAAAGTATGGTGTTCCACAAGGCTCTGTTTTAGGACCTGTATTATTCACATTATATATGCTACCACTGGGCACCATTATCAGTAAACACGGCATCAATTTCCACTGCTATGCCGATAATATATTTAGCAAGCGACCCGGATGATAAAATTAAACTTAGCAAGATTGAGGACTGTATAAAAGACATAAAAGACTGGATGTTGAGTAACTTTCTCCTTCTTAACTCGGATAAAACAGAGGATCTGCTTCTTGGTCCAAAAGCAGCCAGAAACAAACTGTCTAATTTTACACTTAAACTTAACAATTTCTCAGCTGCATCAAGCTCATCTGTAAAAAACCTTGGTGTCATTATAGACCCTGATCTGTCCTTCGACACACATATAACTAATATTACTAGAACAGCCTTCCTGCATCTCCGCAATATTGCTAAATTGAGAAATGCATTCTCTCTACAGGATGCAGAAAAGTTAGTTCATGCATTTATTACCTCAAGGCTAGATTACTGTAATGCCCTGCTGGCTGGATGTCCCAGCAAAAGCCTTAACAAGCTTCAGTTGGTCCAGAACGCTGCAGCCAGAGTTCTTACTAGAACCAGAAAGTTCGACCATATCAGCCCAGTTTTATCAACCTTACACTGGTTACCAGTTAAATTTCAGATTGATTATAAAATTCTCTTACTGACCTATAAAGCACTAAACGGACTCGCCCCTCAGTACCTGAGTGAACTTCTCTCTCACTATGAACCATCACGCCTACTTAGATCACAAGGTGCTGCTCACTATTAGTACCTAGAATTAATAAAGTTACGTCAGGGGGGAGAGCCTTCTCATACAAAGCCCCCCAGCTTTGGAATAGTCTTCCTGTATATGTTCGGGACTCAGACACAGCCTCAGTGTTTAAGTCTAAGCAAAAAACTTACTTGTATAGTCCAGCCTTTGGTAATTAGTTTTTACCTGTCAGTTCTATACCTGCCAGAGTCTCTGCTGCTCTGCTAACACTGTAACCTGTGATCAGTCACCCATTACAGAACTGACTCTCTGTGTGTTTTCCTTTCTTTTCTTCGCCGAGTTGAACAGCTGCCCATCCTGTGCGTCTGATGCTGCTGCCTCTTCTGCCTTGATCGGGTGCCACTGCTCGCCAGCCCTCTGGACCGGGTTACCAACATTGAGCCTCCTGCTGTACAGTGCCGTGCAAACCTCACCCTCACAACCTGACCCCACTGATGCTGCTGCTGTTGCTACATGAACTAATCAAAATTATTCATTTGAACTAATCAATCATTTAAACTAATCAAATTAATCAATCACCCATTGCAGAACTGACTGTGTTTTTCCTTTCTTTCCTTTGCCGAGTTGAACAGCTGCCCATCTTGTGCGTTCTGATGCTGCTGCTGCCGCTGCTGCCTTGATCGGGTGCCACTGCTCGCCGTGCAAACCTCACCCTCACAACCTGACCCCACTGATGCTGCTGCATGAACTAAACTATTCAAATTAATTGTTTGCTCCACCTCTTTCCCTGTTTTTGTACTATAATACTTTATACTAACAATGTTTACTATCCGTTGTCGACCAGAGGAGGATGGGTTCCCCTTCTGAGTCTTGGTTCCTCTCAAGGTTTTTTCCTGTTTCTTAGGGAGTTTTTCCTTGCCACTGTCACCACTGGCGACGCTCATGGAGGCTTGGACCTGGATTTCTTTCTGTAATGCTGATTTCCTTGTAAAGCTGCTTTGTGACAACACCTGTTGTAAAAAGCGCTATATAAATAAACTTTACTTACTACTTACTAATTAACTTTTTTCCAATATTTTAAACTCATGCGCTAAAATCTGCAGAAAAATGTCATATTGAAGTGTGTTGTATGAAGAGGAGGTGTTAAATTATTTTCACTTAAATGAATTAAATCCTGTCATTTCGACCTCAGACTGTACATGATACATCACCCAGGACTAGTTTTGCATATTACCCCTGTCCTCAATTATGGCTCATTAAATATTTTGAATGTCAGTCCCCGAAAGCGCTGGCATGTTCACACTTGCACATCATTCTTCAGCACTGAAATCACCATAAGAGGTGTCCTGCGTGCCAAAAATCTCAATCACACCCTCAACAATGGAGCTCTTCAACATGCCTGAACCGGCACGAGCACCACAGACAACATGAATTTTGGTGTTGGGACTGATTTTTAATCTGTCAGCCTGCTGATGACGAGGTTATTTTTCCTCTAAAAGAGACAAACAAAAGCTTCCTTTCCAGTTTTGATATGTCATTCTTTGAGGAGCTTTAAGAATCAGAGCTGTACAAACGCTGCTGAATTTTAAGATCTTAATGCTTTGGAAAAATCATGTAAGAAAATGAAAGTTTCTGTACAAACACAAATGATTTCAGTTAATAAGGCTTCTTGATCAGTTTTTAATAAATCCTTTATCACTCACAAATTATCTATTCCATCTTGAAAGTTTCTCGCTATTTGAACTCTTAATGTGAGTGAACCATCAGCCAGCAACCTGTCTGTAACACAACTTATCCCGCATGAGGATTCAACCAACAATGCCCTAGTTCTAAACCTAGTGAGCTATGGGACAGGCCACCAATGAGGCGCAGGGACAGGCTCAAGTACAGAGGAGTAGAGACTCCAGAATGGAGGAGAAAGACAGAGAAAAGCAAGGTTACACTGAGTGAGACACGATGTGGGGTGAGTGCGCCAACACTGAGCTACTGCGGCAAAATCGATAAACACAAAGGAGGAGATAATGCCAAATGAGTGTCTTCAAAGCAAAGAGTTCCTAAAAACTAAGGATTTTTTAAATACATACACAAGGAAGGGCACTGGGAGAGAACCCAGGTATTAACAAAGAACTTGAGACCCAAGAGAATCCCGTTACCAGCTCAGCAGAGACACCTGCGCATGGCGGCATAAACTCAAGACTGAGCAGAAAGCGGCGTGTGAGTGGGTGCCCACAGCTGTTACTGCTCAGCCCATAATTACCCCTTAGTGCTGCCTTGTCTCCCCCTAGCGGCTGAAGGTGGCCTAGCACAAGGCTGGGACATTAAATTTCATTAGGCTGTACTACAGCTTTCACAGAATCCAGAAAATGTTCTGCATTTAGCTGACCCACTGTTTGTTTGCCATATTACTGGTTTAAATAAATCCTGCATACTTAATTGTACTTTATCATCCGGACACTGTGCAACCTGTCTCACTTTATACAACAAACAGTCTACTTTGCAGTGCATAGCCTGTGTGAACTGAATTAAATTCAAACCGGTAACTTGATCCAAAAACATTTATTTTGAAAATTGTATTCACTGTGTCTCTTATTCAATACACCCCCAATACCCCTCATGCCTCGTGGAGGAGTTGCTGTCTGAATAATCCATAGTTTTAGTGTGGAGTCATGTCTTTCCTGAGTGTCCCGTAAATCTGTTTCACTCAAAGAAACTCCATCCAAAGTCGCAGACCTGACAGCCTTAACAAAAACATCCTCCCATTCATCAGATTGGATGACACTGGGGTGAAATGGGTGAAATCCCATACATAGAGACACAAAGTTCTCCTTGTCACCTCTCACAACATCTTCAAAGCCAATGCTCTGTATCCTGTGATCAAACAAAGAAAGAATATCCTCATTGAATAAGGCAGATGTCATAGGTCCTCTAAAATCATACTGGATCAATGCGCTCTTCACAGTCAGAGATTGGACTATGTGAGACCAACCTTCCCCCGTCGCAGTCACCTCTATATATGTCAACTTTTGATGAGTTGCATACAACAACGCTGGGTCTTTGTTATGACGATAAAATTGTGGCATTCTCATCTGAAATAATGACACATTCTCTTTGCAAAGGTGACTCAAAGGTGTTCTTGTCATCTGACAGCACAACACACACTCCTACTGATGACTACCACTTAGCTCTCAGCCCTCTGCTATGAGAGTTCACGTCTAGAGGGTAGGGTGTCCTGATTCTTGTTGAGATAGAGGGGGAGGGTGAAGTGTTGGGACTGCATGACCCTCCAAATGGAGGCTTTTCAGAGACTCCAAACAGAGAGTTATGAGAAAACAAGAAAAAACAGCAAGATGGAGAACAAGAGACCAAAGAAACCCACAAATGTGAAAATTTTCTCTGTTAAAAATTGTAATAACCATCGTATTATTTTAGTTTAATGTCGTTTCAGTGTATTTTGGTCCTTTTCATCATAACAAGCATAAAAAAATCTATAATAGTATAGTTAAATTTTTCATTCTGCCTTAAACAGTTCAGCAGTTCTGACACCTGAAGCGGCAGAATGTAACTGCTGCTCCATTTAAGGTGGAACGAGACAATTTGAACAAGAATCTGGCAAATATCTGACTTCAGCTTCATACCACTGAAGAATTAGGGGTGGTGATAATAAATAATTGCCCCCCTCTTTGAAGGCGTATGATGCCCTAAATGTAACTAAAGCCCAGCAGTGAGGAGCTGAACTTTACCCTCCTCTGCTGTCACTGCAGACTGGCAGGGTCGCCTACAGAGCAGCGCTAGTAGCTGTTAATGAAGTGATGCTCTTTTTATTTGAGGGTCCCATTTCAGAGGGACGATTTCAACCACTACAACTTGAAAATTTGCTCACACTTTTACCATGACCATCTCCTGGGAAATTCTTTTACACATGTCCCACATGACGTCATGGGAAATTTCTTTATTTTGGAAAAGTTCTTTACATAGTTCACGCGTGACGTCATCACATAATTCAATCATTTTAACATGTAGTGGGTTCTAATACTGCTAGTATGAATTCAGTTTGCTGTTAAACAACATTCTAACAGACCGTACAGCAAAAACAGGGTTTCAGTCCCAGTCCTTAAACATCACACATACTACAGAGCCACATGTGGTAATTTCAGACTTAAACATAAAACTTAAAAAGAACAGATATATAATATCATTTTAATTTTCAGGGTCCAGACATATTTCTTTAGCTTGTTTCAAGAAATCATGCTTACATTAGAACAATCTGACCAGTGAAATGTAGGAATATTATATGTAAAATATTAGATATACTGACTAGATTTTAGATGATTTCACCTGCCACGGCATCCTTGTTTTTTTTTTGTTTTTTTTGCAACATATAATCTGGTGACTAGAATGAAGTGTGTTAGAGCTGGAAAAACAAAAAATTCAGAGTTTATGGTGTCCAGCAGACCAGGACTGGGAGCTAAAAAACTAGCAGCACTTGTGAAATTCACAGTCAAGTATTGTCTGGGAGTTAGCTGACCCTGACAAATGTGACCTTTAAAACTCATGGAATTAAAGAAACTTTAAATCATGAAATTTCAAAATCTGTACTTGGTAAATCACTTATCATCCCTCCACTCGTCCAAAACTGTAGAACAGAATATAAAAATGTAGAAACTAGATCTAAACTGAAACATGAAGCCTTTAGCATATAGACTTGTTTTCTGCATGTTAACTCATATGGTCAGCATTGTATTGAGTCCTCACAGTTGGAGGAAAATGAACAGGGTGTTTTTGTTTGTGGTTGATGGTCAGTAGGATTTTATAACAGTTTAAAATGACAGGATGGTTCGCTGGATGATGTCAACGCACTCGCTGATCTCGTCTTCTTTGATAATGAGGGGCGGGGCCAGTCTGATGATGTCACTACGAGAGGGTTTGGCCAGGAGTCCGTTGTCACGGAGACGCAAACACACTCGCCAGGCGTCGTAGTCTGAAAGATAAATGCAGAGCGAGAGTTTAAGCACAGGAGAACGTAAACAGTGCGCTGGTTCAACAAAGTGACAATCAAAGATCTTTCCCTTCTCCAAGGTCAAAACTTCAGTAACAGAACACACACCAGCCTCTTTAAAAACAGAAAAGTCCGAAGGGTCCAAATTTACTTGGGAAAAGCTTGTTCCACTAATTTCCACTAAAAATGTATTAATGCTATAAAGAGTTTTTCATTATACATCAGTTATTATTTTCAAAAGCTAGTTATATCAAAAGTTGTGCTGTGGCACCATTTTCAGCTGAGACTTTAAGCAGAGTTGTACCTTTAGTCTCCTTGATGACGATGGCGTTCATCAGACCTTTCCCCCGCACTGTCGTCACTAATTCTTTGGGCAGTCTGTTCAGCCCTGCTCTCAGAATATTTCCCATTTTCTCAGCATTCTCAGCCAGTCTCTCCTCCTCTAGAACCTAATCAGATCATATCAGACCCACACACACCATTATCAAACAGTGGACAGATGGGTAAATGGACGGAAACAACATAAACATCTCTGCATCAATGGAAGGATGGAAGGACAAACCTCTAGGGCCGCAATGGCTACTCTGCAGGCCAGAGGGTTTCCTCCGTAGGTGGAGCCATGCTCTCCTGGTTTAATTGTCAGCATCACCTCGTCATCACAGAGCACTGCAGACACCTGAAAAACAATTGGCAGTAACACCGCTGATTTGCAAAGGGCAAAGTTACACTGCTGACTCATACACAGGGCAGAATTACACCACTGGCCCACAAAGAGCAGAGTTACATCACTGACGTACACAGGGCAGAGATACATCATTGAGTGGCAAAGGGCAGAGTTACACCACTGACCCATAAAAAGCAGAGTTACACTGCTGACCCATAAAAAGCAGACTTCACTGATGCACAAAGGGCAGAGTTACAGTACGGTTACCCTACAGACACACAAATAGGAAAGTTACACTGCTGATATGCAAAGAATTGCACCACAGACACACAAATGACAAATTTACACCAACAAATTCATCAAATAAATAGAACAAAATTTTGCACAAAAATTTGCAGAAAAATGCTATCTTTAGAGCACGTGTTAACTTTCAATAAAACAGAATTTATCCAGGGGTATTCAAACTTTTGAACACTTAAACATGAGGAACTACAGGTTTAGATTAGGGGTTTTCCTCACATATATCTGTGAACTGAGACAGTCGTGCAGCACAGGAAGTGGGGAAACACCACAGGGGTGCAACACATAACGGAACACATTAGTGTGAGCTCTTCTAAGCTTAGATTAGTGTTCCACTCCTCCTCTCTACAACAAACCCTCACACTCAACTCTGCACTCATCGTCTCCAGCCTTTTGATCATTACAATGAGAACAGTAGTGATGCTCTCTCTAGTACAATTACATACGTTTTCCCAAAAATACAGTAGATACAGTAGAATGGCTAGGAGATTTACACACTTGATAATGATAATGATTGACTGTTAACTACAAAGCTGTAGGAAAACAGGGCCCTATAATCAGAACCACAATCTTTTAGTAGAACATATACATGGAACTTCTCTTGGTGCATAAATTGCAATAAGAATGTATGAAAAACATGTAAAAGACAATACACAATTAATCTACATATAACTTACATTTTAAGTACTGAGCTTGTGTACACATACAATAAATACAGACATGTGAGCAAACTGTGGATATTAGTTATAATCTCACAAAAATACTGTGCAAAAGCCACAAGCAGCCAAGAAAATTGTTTCAAACTCTTTATCTTGGCATAAATACAGTAAAATGGGACAAGAACATGTTTTTCAAGTAATTAATTTTTTGTTGCACTCTAGCCATGGATTGCATTTCAGTTCCTGACCTCACAAATGTCCTTTTGGCTAAATGTGCAAATTCCCACAGACAGACTCCACAATCTTGTGGAAAGCTTCTCAGAAGAGTGGAAGCTGTTATAACCACAAAGGCCAACTCCATATTAATGCTGCTGGTTTTGGAATGGGATGTTTTAACAAGCTCATACAGGTGTGATGGTCAGGTGTCCACAAACATCTTAACTCTGTTAACACATTTCCCTTGTTTAACCCACTGATCCTTGTGGGGTAGTGCATGGTGATGTTCAGCTGCAGTGCACCGTGGTGCGATATGCATGACTCCATGACTGTAGCCCACCGTTTTAGCTGGCAAGTTCCTTTGATGGCTGTCTTCAGAGAAGTTCCAGCTACTGCAATCATGAACTTATTTAACTCCAAAGTACACTGAGCTAGAAGTATCATTTACAAGCTAAACAACTGATGCTAACAATATCATGGGAAAAATCAACAAGCATCAAACTAACAAAAGCAACAGCACAGTGGAGCTCCAGTTCCCCTCGAGACCCTCCACTGTAACAAGAATCCACAAGCTATATGAACGAGAGCTACAATCACACAGAAGTTAGTCAGAACATGCAGCCCCTGTTGCTCTCACTAGTTGTCAGTGATGAAGATTGGAAACTGCATTCACTCTGAGGAAATCATTAGATATGAAATAATTAGATATAAATGACATGAAATGTTTCTATAACTCATAAAATAAACCATATACACCCCACAAGAATGACATTTTTTGCACATTTTGAACAATATTCTTATTTGCTGAATTTAACATATATATTGGGGAAAAATGCATAAAATATGGCCTGTGTGAAAGTCATGGCACATTTTAAAATCTTATGTTTTATTTTTTCCCAATATGTTAAATTTGCAATATGTGCAAATAAACAGAAAAAAATAAAAATTGTGCTAAACTAAAATGTGCCATATTTAATTGTGTTCTCTGTAGAGAATGTGTTAATGTATTTTCACTAAGAAAATCAACAAAACATGTCATTTGACCAGAAGTGTTAAAACTTGAACATGAAACATGAAAATAGCCAACTGTCCTAACTTTCTAGCTTCTGCTGCTAATACAGCAATAAGAAAAATCATCATCACCATCATCTTTAACCATCTAATCCAGATAGGGTCGCGGTAGCGCTTGGGAGAGCAGAGAATCCCTGCTTCCAGGCCAACTTAGAGATATAATCCCTCAAGCGGGTCCTAGGACGACCCTGGGGTCTCGGCCCAGTAGGCCATGCCTGGTAAACTGCCACCATGAGGCGTCCAGGGGCATCCTGATCTTTGCCTTATGGCTCAGCTCCCTCTACACCACTACAGTCTGGTACAGTGACCACATTACTGCTGCCGCCTGTCCCAGCCTGCAGCCGAACAATATACCTGTTCTGCTTTTTTCACTCACAGGATAGACTCCTCCAGACAGACCTTTTCCCAGAACCACCAGGTCCGGCCGCACAGCCTCATGGTCCACAGCCAGCCTGCGGCCCGTACGAGCCAAACCCGTCTGCACCTCATCAGCAATTAACAGAACCTGTAATGCACGCGCACACACACATACAAACACACAAACGCAAACGTCAATCACAAGAAACATTCGCCTCCTATTTACTCCACAAATACCACTGCAGAAATAAAAGACTTGTATTTTATAAAGTCCACTTATAAAGTTTATTTGGGTTTAAGTACCAAAAACAGTCATAAATCATTTTTACATGATCATATTTCCATCTCTCTTTATCCCTGTGTCATTGTATCAAATCAGAGTTTTAGTCCAGAATCTGAGCTTATTTTAATCACATCCATTTTAGAGCAGGAAGTGAGGCTGCATCCTTGTCCCTCATGGCCACATGTTGAGCAGTTAGGTCCCATTGTTTTGATTTAACTACTCCATGCTAATTGGTGCCCAAACTTTTGCAAAACACTATAGCTAACAAGCAATGGAAGCTTATACTGCACCAATTAGCATTGAGCTAACTGCATGCCTAAATCATCACTCACTCAACTCAAACCATGTTGAGTTATTCAGTATCTCTTAAAGTCTTGATTATGTGGTTTCTTGGACACAGTTATTTATAAACAAGGGCAAATGGAAAATATTACAGATTTTTTTTAGCCAAATATGACTTAAGGGTCTGTATACTGCATTTTATTCCATTTTGTGAATTCAAAATTAGCTGTTTTGCAGCTTAGTTTTTATACGTGGTGCTATGTCCTGGCTTCCTGCCAGGTCACCCCAGCCACTAGTGGGAGAAAGAGAACAAAGACGGGCTGATTAGGTGTCAGCCACCACGTGTGGTTGCCAGGTCCCCAGCCTACACCATCTGATGGCTGCTGGACTCTCGTCAGGTGCGGGTGGTACCCAGTGCTTGGTGGACTGGGAGGGGTATGGGCCGGTGGAGAGATGCCGGGCCCCGGCTCAGCAGATTCTGGACCTGGAGCTCATCAGGGCCTTCTGGAGAAATCATGCAGCAGGTATTAGAGAGTCAGGAGCAGTTCCTAAGGTTACTGTAATGTCCCAGTATCTTGCTAGGCCACCCCCAGCCACTAGGGGGAACCAAGAAGGGCTGATTAGGGCTGACTGGTGTCAGCTGTTGAGCTCCCTTTTTATGGAGAGCTAACCCACAACTCACTGCACAGTCTTGAATTCACGCCGCCATGTGCACGGCTCTCTGACTAAGCCGGTACTGGTATTGTTTCTCTCTTGAGTCTTGGGTTTTGTGATCATCGGTCTTTTACAGAATAAATACTTCAATGTAAGAATAAAAAAAAAACCTTTTTGAATTTTCTAACTCCCAGCAATCAAAAGGAAAGGGGAAACTATCTAAATGAACTGAAAGAAATAAAGAGGGGAGGATTTGTGTTCATTTTGAGGTATCTAGAGTTTGGGTTTGCCATTTTGTTTAAGCTGTCCATTCACCCTGAGAACTGAGAACTAATTATTGTTTTTCTCTGCATTCACGCTCAGAGTCCCCATAGTGTTCTGGTTCCTTAACAAGGGGACTGCCAGTTCAATCCCCAAGCAGCGTAAGCCATTCACCCTGTTATAGCAAGGCTGAGCCAGACCATGGATTTAAAAGAGCCATCCCAGGTCAAATAGCTGAGGAATGCCCTAGCCAACAAGGGCTTGTTAACTGGCCATCATGAGCAGCAAATACTAACACAGCTGCAGGGGCTTGCTGGGACCCTTGCTGAAGTCCATTGGGTTGAACCTCTAGGCTGAACTCAACCTGACTTCCCCAGAAAGATATGATGGGGATTTGGGGTGTTTCTGGTTGTAAGGTGTTTCTCCTACAATGTGAACTCAAGGTTGCCCACTGACCAGTCCAAAGTAACTAATTTCACTGAGTCCACCACATAAAACTGTCAGAACTGTTTATGGCTGCTATGCACTGTAGGTTTGACCATGCGGTTTGCAGAGGGGTGGTTTTCGTGTCCTTCAACTACAGCACTGCAAGTCCTAAGTGGGAGACTATGCCACTGAGTTCCACATTCTGGCCGCAGAGAGCGGTTGGAATGCAGAGGCATTAATGGCCGCCTTCCAACTTGGCCTCAGTAGTGAAGTAAAGGGCAAGCTGGCCACCCGAGATGTTCCCGTCTTACTCAAAAAGCTCACTGAACATACCCCAAAGCTAGACCCAACTATGGGTGCACTGTAGGGAACAGGAGTCCATGTGCCCGCGGTACAAGGCCCTTTCCCCAAGTAATTTAGGGCCTCCATTGTATCCTGTTCCTTCCAAGCCGGACGATCAGCCCATACAGTTGGGAAGTATGCACCTTTCTTGCCAGCAACACGATTCTCGTATGTGGGAAGGCAAATTTCTCTACTGCAGGCTATCCATTTCCTCACTGGCACCCTCTCATGGGGGCAAACTTTTGAGAAGTGACTCTAGGTATTTGTGGACTCCAGGGCAGCAGGTAATATTAATAATGTCATTTTGACCAAGACCCTTAACCTGCACCTAGTCAACCTAAAGTTTCCTATACCAGTCACTGCCTGTCTGGCAGTCACCCTTTTGGGTCAAGGCAGGTAAAACAGGAGACCTGACCTGTCACTCTGCGTCTAGGTCAGCACAAGAAGCAGATTTTTTTGCTACCAGTTACCAGCTAGTATTCGGTTTCGCCTGGCTACAATGGCACAGTCCATGGCTGGATTGGCTGATCCAGTCTTTGGCGGGCTGAGGTCTCAATGTAAAGGGACCTGCACTGGGGAAATCTGCGGTGACCTTTAATTAGATTGACACTCCATTAGTCAGCCCTGACTTATCTAAAGTCCTGACAGACTGCCACAATCTGTTGGAGGTCTTTAGCAAGCACAAAGCCCAAATCCGGCCTCCTCATTTGTCCTGTGACTGTGCCACTGACCTTTTTCCAGGCACCACCCCTACCCAAGGGAGACTGTTTTCTCTCTCAGGTACCGAGAGAACAGCTGTGGATGAGTACCTTAGGGAGGCACTAGCGCTGGGTTTCATCCAGCCATCCACCTCACCAGCTGGGGCCAGATTCTTCTTTGTAGAGAAAAAGGATGGCAGCCTTCATACCTACATTGTTTACTGAGGTCTCAATAACATAACCATCAAGGATCATTACCCCTTTCTGCTGATGACTTCAGCTTTTGAAGCGTTGCAGGAGGCCTCAGTTTTTACTAAACTGGACTTGCACAGTGCCTACAACCTCATTAGGATGCACCAGCGCTATGAGTGGAGGAGAGCGTTCATTGCCCTGTCAGGCCATTAAAAGTATCCTCATGATGACTTTCGGGCTAAAGAATGCACCAGCTGTCTTCCAGGATTACATTAACAAGGTCCTGCGAGAGACCCTGAACCTCTGTGCGTTTGTCTACCTTAATGACATCCTCATATACAGCCGCTCAATGGACAAGCATGTTGTCCATGTCCACTGGATCTCCAGTCTTTACATGAAGCTGAAGAAATCAATCGTTCATGCTCAGTTGGTCTGAACCGGACCCTGGGGGTGGCTTCAACATGGAGAAGGATGTACAAGGCTATGCAGCAGTTTTCCAGGTCTGCACTAAAAACAAGCAGCCCAAAATGGGACTGACAGGCCTGCTCCATCCCCTGCACATACCATCTTGGCCATGGTCACAGATCTCCTTGGACTTTATCACCAGCTTGCCTGTGTCCCAAGGTGACACAGCGATCATGGTTGTGATTGACCAATTTGCCAAGGGCTGCAAATTCACTGCACTGCTGAAACTCCCATCAGCCAAGGAGACAGCCACGCTGCTGCTGCAAAACATGCTAAGGGTCCATGGGTTCCCTACAGACATTGTGTCTGACTGTGGGCCCCAGCTCACCAGCAAATCTTGGAGGGCATTCGGTCAGCTGCCTGGGGCCTCTGTGTGTTTATTCTCTGGCTTTCAACCTCAGTCTAATGGGCAGACTGATGAATCAGGACCTCAAACAGATGCTCAGGTGCCTGGCATCCTCTAGGCCATCCATGGATGGATACTTTGCCTGGATTAATACTGGCACATTTAGTGAACACATACTGTTCTTTCCACTTATTTTGCCTTATAACTTCTGTGATAAGGAAGAAGCACATTATGCAATTGTTCTGGAGCCCTTGTGAAGCACACAGTGTTCCTCATGCACTGTGTAATGGACAGGTGTTTTACTCACGTTTTGTTTGGTGCACAGCTCTCGGACTTTGGTCAGGTAACCTGGGTCAGGAACCACCACACCTGCATCACCCTGGATGGGCTCCACCATGAACGCAGCCACATTAGGATCCTGCAGGGCTTTCTGTATAAACACACCAACCATTTAACTTCAGCGACTGGACACGAACCACACAGAAGAGACGATGAGGCTACATTCACATTACAAAATCACAATAACTTACATGTATTTCACAGTATCAAAAAATATTCAAAAGACAGTGAGCATGTGAGCTCATTCTGGTTTTGTCCACTCTTATGGAAAGCTTTACACTATATGTTGGAATATTGCTGTGAGGATTTGATTGCATTCAGCCACCAGAGCATTAGTGAGGTCAGGTACTGATGTTGGATGGTCAGTTCTGGATCACTCCAACTCATCCCAAAGGTAGTGGATTGAGGCTCACTTCAGAGAATATAATCCACTGCTCCACAGCCTAATGCTGGGGGGCTTCATATTTCTCTAGCCCACGCATGGCACTGGTCATTGTGACCTTAGGACAATGTGCGGCTGCTCCAGAGCATCCCATTCTATTGGTCAGTATTTTTCTTTGGAGATTCTACAAAATTCTACAAGCTTACTGTAGATTCATTCACTCATCAGAAGGGCTGTCTGGACACTGTTGGATATGTAGTCTATAATATTGAAGTCATCAGATCTTCAAGCTGAGCAAATTTGTAATATGAATGTAGCCTACAGTACACCCTGGAAATCTAGCTCTAAAAGGCAATGATAAGATTAATGATCAGCGGTACCTCCAGGGCAGGTATGTCGTTGTAAGGAACCACCTCAAATCCAGGCATGAATGGGCCAAAACCGTCATAACTGCTGGGGTCAGTGGAGCTGGAGATGGCCGCCATCGTACGGCCCCAGAAATTACCCTCTACACATAAAGAGAGGAGACAGGAATGGATTAAACCAATTACAGAGAGACCTCCAGAGCATTACAACAAAGTACACAGACAATGAGATGAACTAGAAACATATTTTAGAAAACAAAATAAAAATGAAATGGCAAACAACATTCTGTAACTATCAATTTACACTAAATGTCAAGTTATCAGCCTCAAGATTTGATCACCACTTTTGACATATGACACGTTCTTTATTCTTGATGTTGCATCACACTTCATTCTAGAGTCATCTATAGCTCCATTCATAATTGTGGATACCTTTAACATTTTTCAGTATTTTACAGATTTATATTGCAGAATACATTGATTATATTCTTTAGTTTTAACACTACACTAATAACAAGTTCCTCTGAAAACAGAAACTACTTTCAGAAATAAACTATTCCATTTTATGCATTATAAATGTGCAGTGGGCACATTTCATATGTACATCCACAAGTAAACATTTATTGATGTAGAAGATCTTTAACTCTCCTGTGGTGGGGAAAAAAAATCACCTGCAAAGATGATCTTTGCCTGATATTTGGGAACGCCCTTCACATTGTACGCCCATTTTCGTGCCAGCTTGCAGGCCGTCTCTCCACCTTCAACACCTTCAGTATTCAACACAAAAAGAAAACACAATATCCTTTACACGCTGATTCACCACTAGGCAAAAGGTTAATCCTTACACTGTGGAATGGAACTGAACTGGAAAGAACACAATGCAGGTTTGTGCAGAACATTGTGCTGACATGTGTAATTGCTATGAGGAATTAAAGAGATTGTCCAGTGAAAAGCATTTCTAACAGATATGTTTTCATAGGCAGTTTTCCAAATGGACACAAACTGAAATAAACGTCACATAACTAAAACCAGCAGCAGCCATCATCAAGCCTGAACTTTATATGTACTTTCATCCATATTTATAGATAAGAGTATGCCGTACAGCGGGAGTAAATAGACATAAAACTTTGCACTGGCCTTTCGGTCCACCAAGCCAATTTGTGAGATGAGACACTGATGAAGCATGAGAGGGTCTGGCACGCAATCTCTGTTCTAGTTCATCTTAAAGGTGTTTGATGAGGTTGAGGTCAGGGCTCTGTGAGGGCCAGTCAAGTTCTTCCACACCAAACTCCAGTCAGGACTTTATGGAGCTGCTTTGTGCACTGGGGCTCAGTCATGCTGGAACAGGAAAGGTTCTTCCCCAAACTGTTCCCACAAAGTTGGAAGTGTACAATTGTCCAAAATGTCTTGGTGCTGAAGCATTAAGATTCCCCTTCACTGGAACTAAGAGTTCTAGACCAACCCCTGAAAAACAGCCCCATATCATCATCCCTCCTCCACCAAACTCTACAGCTGGCACAGTGCAGTCAGGCAGGTAACGTTCTTCTGGCATTCGCCAAACCCAGACTCTCCATCAGACTGACAGATAGAGAAGTGTGATTCGTCACTCCACAGAATATGTTTCCACTGCTCCAGTCCAGTGGTGGCTGCTTTACTCCACTCCATCTGATGCTTGGTATTGTGCATTTTGATCTTAGGCTTGTGTGCAGCTGCTCAGCCATGGAAACTCATTTTGTGAAGCCCCAAACACACAGTACTTTTGCTGATGTTGCTTCCAGAGGCAATTTGGAACTCTTTAGTGATTCAACAGAGGATCGGCACTGTGCACTTCAGGACTCACCGGCCCAATCTGAAATTTCAATTTGAAAGAGGCACATTTTTCATCAGAGGAGGTTCTACTCACCTGTGTTCATGGGCAGGACTTTGTCATATCCAAACAGATTGGTGATGTACTCCTCATACACACCCAGGACGTCGTTGTAGAAGGCTCTGGAGGTGATGGTCAATTTGGAGGCCTGGGTGTTGAGGGCAGCAATGATTTTGGGGTGGCAGTGGCCTTGGTTAACTGCGCTGTGTGCACTGAGGAAGTCATAATACCTACGACCCTCTAAGTCCCACATGTGGATGCCTGAAAAAGACAAAAATCATAACATAGCATTTGCAATGTTCAGCTTATTTCTGTTCTACTTAACATGAATGAGGTACAACACTGGTGATTTCTTGCTAGCCAGCTTGGTCATACAATTTGGTGCACAAAGAGATCCTGGCTCATTGGCCACAATTCTATCTACCAAATGACTTCAATTCTACACTGTAAAATGGTGTCTTGTCCAGTAAAATGATCTTAAATCTAGTGACATATCTAATATTTCCCATTTTGAGATGTTTTTACTTTTTTGTGCATTTATTTAAAGATTGTGTGTACTGTCTTTTTGTCACTGGTGTTACCTTACTCCTTTGGCACTATTAAAGGCTTTTATGAAATATTATTTCCCAATGGAATAATATTTCAATAGTCAGAATTACAAAAGAATAATGATAATGCAACAAACCAGGAGATTATTCTTTCATCTGTTTTAATTAGGTCTGTTAAAAATGTGACTCAATGATGTTTTTTTCACTTGCACAACCATATATTTGTTATAACAAGGAAAATATTTGACAAAAGTTATAAACAAGTAATGATGAAATGCCTTAAATCTGAACTTTTGAATGTAGCAAAAGTCTAACACCAGAGACATTTTAATGAAAAATGAATTTTACAAAATAACTGCTACAGAGCATCAAACCACATATTGTCAATCATGGAATATCCACTAAAATATGGAATTTAATCCATTTGTATTCTATTTTTCCACAATTACCTCAGAATAAAATCGGTCACACCAGTGACTTCAGCTAAAAGCTTCATATGAAATCATGAGCTAAATGAGAAAATCTCTGATAACTGAAAGACTCAGTGGACTCACCATGAGCTTTTCTTCATAGATCCTCAGAAAACAGGAAAAAGGAAGTCAAGTGATGTCATCAGTGTGACTTTTATTTCAAAATAAGACACTTTTTGTTACGCGGTAACACCAGTGACTCCTGGGGACTTTCATTATATATTTTATAATATTTATTTGGTGTTTTGTTTTAAATCATATATTCCATAGTCATGTATAGATTATTGTAGTTAAAATTGCAGAAAAACATGTTTTTTACCTCAAAATATGGCCTCAGCCTTCACACATGACTGTGTGGACAAGCACTTCTGTGGTGTTTGGAATTCTATATGATTGATTTAAAAAACAATATTGCTAAACTGATGACTCAAGAAAGGTGTAATCTTTAAAATAACCTATTGTTTTATTTTAAAATATAAATAAATTGTAACTCTAATGTGTTTTTGAAGTGTAATTTATCTGTAAAATTGATGTTTCTGTAGAACGACCTATAGGATTATTTACCTTATTTTCAGACATTTTTTTACTTGTTTTAAGTCATTTTATTAGGTAAAATTATCTCACTATATTTGCAGATAATCTTGCTGGTTTCAAACACGTCTTAAAACAAGCAAAATTATCTGACAAAATACATACATACATACATACATCATCTAAACCGCCCATCCCTCTGGGTCACGGTGGGGTGCTGGAGCCCATCCCAGCTGCCACTGGGCAGAAGGCAGGATACACCCCGGACAGGCCGCCAGCCCATCACAGGGCAGACAGACAGACACACACATTCACACACACACATTCACACCTAGGGGCAATTCAGCACGTCCAATCGGCCTGACTGCATGTTTTTGGACTGTGGGAGGAAACCGGAGTACCCGGAGGAAACCCACGCAGACACGGGGAGAACAGGCAAACTCCACACAGAAATGACCCTGGTCACCCGGCCGGGAATCAAACCCAGGCCATTCTTGCTGTGAGGCGACAGCACTACCCTGACAAAATATAGAGTGAAAATTTTACTTAATAAAATGCCTTAAAACAATAAAAAATGTCTGAAAATAAGGTAAATAATCTCAACAGGAAACATATTATTGACTACTGATTTAATGACTATTGTAAGGGCTCAGGCTACACCGCTGGCCACCAGCAGAGGGTGACAGTGGTGAGGCGCCACAAGTTCAGGGAACTCCAATTCCCAGAAGCCCTCAGGTTGATTGGGCCCAACCTGGCACACCTGTGGACTCCTCTACTTAAGGCTGTGGCAAACAGCAGCCTTTTGTCACACCTTTGTAGAGGGGTGACCGGTATGGTACGCAGCCCAGGTGGGTATTTAAACAAAAAGAAAAGGAAAGGAAAAAACAAAAAGGAAAGAGGGCTGGAAAAATAAAAGAGAGAAATTGCCCCAAAACTACTTAAAAGCCAAAAAGAAGGCTTGAATAAGAAACGGCTCCAAGGTGTTTGGTTCACAAAGAGCAAACAGGTGAAACATAAAGTCGACCTTCCTCTCATAATTACAGAGGAAGTGTCTTTCTGATTTCTGATCATCTTTTATTTCAACTCCAACATGCACAATCGCCAAATTCACACTCCATCTCCTCAATAAACTCATTTAAGACCCTTTCTCGCGGGTTTTTCTCTGTGCTTGGGTCCACCTCCCTGCCGTCCCGTAACCGACTATATTTATGATATAATTTTTTGTAGTGTACCGAGTATCCAAATATTTAGTGTCTTTCAAAACCAAAGTGCAACACCTGAGCCAGTGAGCCTATAAGATTTGTGGTTCTAAAATCTAGACTGCTGACTAAATTAACACCAGCAGTCTGTTAAAGTGAGATTATAAGCTTGATGGGTTGAAAGGGAAACCTTATATTTGAGATGTGCAATATTATGCAATATGCAAATGAAAAGCATACTATGTAGTGTGCAGTTCTTGCACATATGTATTTAAGTATTTAATAAACTCCTTGATTGGACTGTACGCTATGAAAAGGTCAGTGCGTGTCCAGCTGGTGTGTGGAGTCTGTACTGACCCTCTCCCCTCTCCAGGACCACGGGCAGCGAGTGGTAGTTGTGCGCTCCGTATCGATCCTCGCGAGTGTACACTTCCTCTGAGGTGAGCTGACGCTCCGCACGCTCCGCCCGGGACGCCACAGAGGAGGTCATCCGCATCCCAGAATGCACTGCACGGCTCAGGGTGGGGGCAGCCCAGGCCAGGCGGGTCAGACGAGTCAGCATGCCTTGCATTTCTGTACATAAAGAGGAGAAAACATGTTAAACAAGTGCATCTCCTTTGGCCTGTAGGGGGGGCAGTGCACCTCCAGCTGAACTGAACTCCACCTAAGAGGACAACCATTGACAACTCATGATCTGCTGAATGTTTTAGTTGTATTGGCTCAGTGTTGAAACATCAGGAGGAATTACGAGGTGCTCCATGTAAATGACATGTATATGAGGGCGAATTCATGCGTGTCTATTGCAAATGATATGTAAATCATGTGCTTTCATATAAATAAGGTGTGATTTTGACGCATTAAAGCTGATTTATCAATTGCCCCTAAATACGTCGCAGGACTCTTTCCTACAGAAACCCAGAAGAGTAAAATAAAAAAATGACTGTGCTTTCCTGAGTCTAAGCTCCACTTCTGCCTCATAATTTCCTTCCCTACTGAGGGCTGCCAGAGGGGTAAAGTATGAAGGAGAGGAAAAAAGCTAACACTAAGTGTGTTACACCAGCTTTGGCCAGCAGGGTGCGGCTGTATTATTATTATTATTATTATTATTATTATTATTACTGTATTTTCTTCCCCTAACTCTTCAGCCACCCAGTGAAAAAATACTGGGAAGCTAACATGCTAACAATTAGCACGTTAATGCCAAAAATCTTTTTTCACTGGGTCCTGAGAGGTAAGATAGCCGCCCCCTGCTGGTCAAGGCTAGTGTAAGCCCAAAGATGAGGATTGTCCAACTGGAATGTTCTTCAGCTCTTTTCCTATTGGACAGGCTTGACTTTGGGCTTAAGTTATCTGGCTAAACTGTGAAATCCTATTTTGTGAAATATCTCCCTGGCCTCCAAAGAGAGAGATGGAATAAAAATCAAACAAACACAAACAAAAATAAATAAATAAATAAATACATTTTAAAAACCACCCCCTACTGGTCAAATCTGGTGTAACATGCTAAGTGTTAACCAAATTTCTGGTTAGTTTGTTCATACAGTAGTAGAAAACATTTTTGAGGTTTTGATGGTAGAAATTGTACAAATCATGCGAGAAATATTTGTTTGGCTGTTTTTGGTATTTTATACAGGCAAAATAAAAAAACATGTGTAACCTAGACTCAGGAACGCACTTTTAATTTTATTTATTTGTTTTTTTTTATTTTACCCTTCTGTACTTTGAGCAGTTCATAGTGAATCAGTCGTTGGTACATCATTCAGGATAGACAGTTTAGAGCCCATGTGACAAACAAATCCCACACAATCCTCTCCGGCCCACAGAAGTGTTTAAATTTTCTATTAATATTAGCTCATTTCACAATGCGCTGCACTACAGTCCCCAGCATGCACCGCAACGTAATGTGCTCCAACTATCCTACCCCAACAACAGTCTATGGAACAGCGGTTACAGCTCAATTCTACACAATTCTACACCAGTCATATCACAAAATGCATTTCAGCTGCAGTTCAGCCAGTATAAACACATAACGTCAACTCAGCAGCTCAGAAACTGAGGCAAAGTCTTAATGAACTTGCAGCAAAGAAAAGTTTCCAGGTGTCGAGTTCAAGCACATAGGTAGGTTTAAAAGACTGAGCTTCTGGGAACATTTAAATTTAGAATATTTCAAGTGTCCATGTAAAATTTCAAGCTCTACTAGTGTGTCTGTATTTTACTGTTCAAGTTTTTGCATATTTTAAATAAAACAATGACCGGTTGAGGTTACAGCACAACATTAATTAAAAATGAAAACTTTTTTCTCTGGCCCACAGATTTGAGATTTTTAATATGACCTCTTTACTGGTTGAGTTTGACACCCCTGGTTTAGAGAGCAGCAGAGTAACACAGAAGTAATGAGTAGTGAGATCACTGTTACCATGGAATGAGTGGAATAATCCCACGACTGTCTGAGAGGAATAATCTGCAGTTTGTAATAAATCACTGTTTTAAAAAAAACTACCCTGCACTCCGCACTGACCACTTTGCCCTGTAGCTCCTCTTTACTGGTGTCCAGTTAGAGACTGCAGCTCATCTGCTGCACACAGTTTGTGTTATCCATCCTCCAGTCCGTCCTCAATGGTCAGTTTCTGATCACAGGGTGTTACACAGTAGACTAATACAGTACAGTATCAGGTAGTGACCAGTCAGTAGAAGGACAGGAAGGACAAGGTAGGAGTTTACAATAAAGTGGATATTGAAAGTATGTAGGCTTTATAAACCAAGTACAGGAACACAATCCAAATATTCATTTAGTTCAGCTCAGAATCTTATGATTGTACTCACCCCAGCTCTCTGCTCCACAGTGATTATAATGACCCGTCAGTAGAGTGTAATTTTGTAGAGTTAACATGAAACTATCCACCTTCTCAATGAACAAAGCGAAACTGTTCCAGCATACTTATCCTCAACCACCCTCACCCCCAAACCACCCCCTATACCACCCCCCCACACCATGCCCCACACCACCACCACCCAACACAAAAAAAAGTTGTCACAGTGAAGCTCATATCACTGAGTGGTACTGATAAATTTTAAATATCACATTTTGTGTTATCAGAGTATCAGAATGAATTTACTTTGCATTAATTAGCTTTAAGTTAATGAACCTACTCTTCCTGAGTTCCGCTACTCTATACAAAACTAGGTCTTAGAAACATGACTGACTGGTTTTACTCTCTGAAAAAGTACAACAAGGAGAAGCTTAGTGTTGTAAACAGTGAACAGCCAGAAAGAAAGCTTTAGATTGTTAAACTTCTTTTTGTTTAAAATAATCTGAACGTAGCCCAAAAAACGACATACATTACCATTTAAAGTCTCAGGTAACCGTAACCTGAGTAAAATATTAAACATATTTGTGTGATACTGAAATGGAGTACATCCAAGTGTGGAAAAAGAAAACAAACAAAAAACAGGATAAAAAATATGGTAAAACTGAGAAATGTCAGGGTCTTAATATTCTAATGAGCACAACTGATTGACAGTCCAACATCCAAGACTGCCACCAACTATGTTTCCTAGTTTAGCTTTCGCTTGGTTGTTAAGTTTAAACTTTAGACAAAATGTGTCAGTAATTTATGAATACTGGAAATTTTAAGCAGTATTTTGAGATGTTACCCATGAAATAGTGGTGATCCTGAAAGTTAAAGCTCTAGAGAACCTGAAAACATGTTCAGGTTAATCAAGTTAGTCTTGCTCTTGTGGGTTTAACTTTGGCTATGGCTTAAACTAAACGGCAGTATCACAGTGTGGCAATATCACCAGTATACAGTTCAAATGACACGTTTTCTGAAGTGAAAATAAGTTCAAATGAACACATCCTCTACAGAGAACTTTAATGCATAATTACTGGTTATTTGCAGAATTTAATATATATTGGGGGAAAAATTAAACATAAAATATAGCCTGTGCAAGTTATGAAACATTTTCAATTAATATTTTTCTAATATTTTAAACTCATGCGCTAAAATCTGCAGAAAAATGTCATATTGAAGTGTGTTGTCTGTAGAGGATGTGTTAAATTATTTTCACTTAGAAAATTAATGAAATCTGTCATCTTGACCTCAGACTGTACGTGATGTATCACCCAGGACTAGTTTTATGTATTACCCCTGTCCTCAATTATGACTCATTTAATATGTCGAATGTCACTCCCCGAAAGCGCTAGCACGTTCACACTTGCACTTCATTACCCAGCTCTGAAATCATTGTAAAAGGTGTCCTGCGTGCCAGCAAATCTCAATCATACCCTCAACAATGGAGTTCTTCAACATGCCTGAACCGGCCTCCTATAGGAGCTTATGCCCCACTGTTAGCATTCAGCCAGACAGCAGTACCATACATTTGCTACGCGGGCACCACAGACATGGATTTTGGTGTCGGGACTGAATTTAGTCCCTAAAGTCATTTTCAAGACAGCCTCTCTGAAATCCTCAGTGCACAGCTGGTGCACAATATGGAAAAGCAGCCAAAAGCAGCAAAGTCAGGATCACGTTACCGTGTGAAAAACTGTCAGCCTACAGATGACGAGGTTATTTTTCCTCTAAAAGAGACAAACAAAAGCTTCCTTTCCAGTTTTGATATGTCAGATTCTTTGAGGAGCTTTAAGAATCAGAGCTGTACAAACGCTGCTGAATCTTAAGATCTTAATGCTTTGGAAAAATCATGTAAGACAATGAAAGTTCCTGTACAAATGATTTCAGTTACTAAGGCTTCTTGATCAGTTTTTAATAAATCCTAGAACACATTTGTTTTGAACACATTCACTTTTCTAAATAAAATCACAATTTTACCTAAAATTAATAATTTTGTCTACGACTACCCCGGGTGGTATAACATCTACACATCACTAATACTGTGTGTTTTTACTGTTCAGTTTTAGTGATATATTAGAAAGAAAATAAGTGCGATATTCATAGTGGTATGGCAGTGTTCCAGTTTGTTTTTAATTTCTTTTAATTCTGTTTCAAGTTCTTTATTCACAGGTAACTGTAATGCACAACATTTACTTAAAAATCCATAGTAATGAAGTAAACAGACACACCATTGTGAACTGTCACAGCAGAAAAAGTCAGAACTGAGCCGTGAGGCTTGTTGTGCTGGGAGGTCTGTCTATAACAGTATATCAGCACTCGAGTCACAGAATCGCACTGATTTTCCAGTATTCGCACTACTGATATATAAAGACACAGTTGACTGTAAAGTGCGTTATTTACTGGGTGTTTCAGATTGTTTTGAAAGAACAGATTCAAACCCATAAAACAATGTAAAATATTCAGTTTCTTTTTTTGAAATGTGCTTTCTGTCTGTTTAATGTCTACAGTGCTGTGTAAGGTTCCCTTCAAAATCAGTCCAATCAAAAGTTCTAATAGATTTACAAGACAATGAGTGTGTTTACATGCACTTAATAATCTGATAACTGCAGAAAATCAGTTTTTGTCAGTAATCCGATCAACATGTTTATATGCACTTGAGTAATCAGGTAATGGGAAAACTCTGGGTCTACATGAATCAGACAGTAATCGGATTTCTGCTTCACAACCAGCCAATAAACATAACATAAAACTCAAACTTCATGACGCAGCTTTTTTTAAACATCACTTTACCTGAAAATATGAACAAACATCGTCTAGAAGATGAAGAATATTTAAATCCTTCATTTCGTTGAGCATGTATTTGGTTTCAGTGTTGCTCCAAAAGTGTTTTGCTGCGTCTCGCGGCAACGCTGCTCACTTATTTCGGGTACCGCCATCTGTTTTCACACATGCTCAGACTGAGAAATCCGAAAGAAATCAGAGTAAGAGTTCACAGCACTGAGAAATCTGACTACTGAGCTAGAATCCAGTCTCTTCATCAGATTTTTTAATGGGATTAATCAGATTTCTAGACTTTACTCCTGTCTAAGAAATTAGAGTGTGCTGTTTACATGACCATTTGAATGATCAGATAACTGCAGAAATCTGATTATGACAGGATTAAGTGCATGTAAATACACTCAGTGTTAGTATATAACAAAATTCTGGAAGTATTGGCTCATTGACCTTATTAAATGGTAATGTAGTAACTTTATGCTAATTGATACAGGGAATTCCCCAAATTTTTCAAAATCTCTGCATAATTAAATGGTTAAGATGTAAACAGTCATTCAGAGTGGTTTGGTGAGAAACGCTCTGTTCTAGAGAAACTTGGTGTCTGAATTGTTCACAGTGGAGGTGATAGGAACCAGACATCTGAATTGTTTAATGCTTCTAAATGCTACATTACAAAGTTATGACAGGAAATGGTCACAGTATCTAACCTGAATCAGTTTCTCTACAGCCAATCATTTCACATCAAATCACTCTGAATGACTAACTACTGAATTATGCCAAAATTGTGAAAAATTGGTGGAATTCCCATTGAAATTTGAACTGCTAATTTAATTTAATCAGCCCTATCTAAACGCCAAACTCTCTAACATCCCATTTAGAAAAACTAGGTCCAAAAAGTCACATCTTGCATTTCAGGGAGCGACTTTTTTATTCTGTAGGGTTAAATTTTATTTCCAAATACTATGTTAATGCAGCATTACAGCAGAACCATGGAGAATGAGTTGTATGTGGCTCTATATAGAACCTTTTTGAAAATGACTCAGTGTAGCACCAAAAACTGGTGTTCTATTGTTACAAGCTTGGCATAATAAAACCATTTATGTGCTATATTCAAAAATGTTCTATATAGAACCATACACAAAAGCTTAAAAATGGCTCATTTTATGCTTAAATGCCTCTAATCTAATTTGTGTAAATACTGTATGTAGGTTCTCCGTTGCCTGCTTGCCAGCTCATTTAAACAGCTGAGGTTTCGACTCGTGTAGGTTCACTGGTGGTTCTGGATAGTAAATAAAATGTCTATATTTGTGTTGTAGTCATGGCGACCCCTGGTTCCTATCACCACCACTGTAAAGACATCTGAGTCTCTACAATCAACCATTTCACACCAAACCACTCCAACTGACTCTGTTTACATCTCACGTTCTGAATTATTGAGAAATTATGGAAAGAATTGTGGACTTCCTCTTTAAAGTGAAACTGAGAATGAACTGATGAGCAAATTTCAGCCTTGCCTGACTGCATTAGACACAATATGGAAATATTTAACCTCCTTTTTAAAACAATAACTTTAAAGACAAACCTAAAAGAAAAACCTAAAAGAATCTCATTTAATAATCTCATTCATCACACTGACTGGGGGAAAATCACACTTCCCTAGTTTAGCCGGTTCTAGAAAGCTAACTTAAGTTTATTTTCGGTCTCCAGCATCGACCTGCAGCTTCACTGATTCATGGACTGATGACTGTGGCGTCTTTTAGCATCCAAGACCTTCAAGCGTAACATCTAACATTAACAGACGACCGAGGAGGCGCCCATTCGGGGAGCAGCTGCGCCTGCGCTCCGCTACAGCAGCGCGGAGATCAAAGCTGAATTAAGACTAGAGGATGTGAAATAACCCACCGGCCTGATGCACGAAGACCAGACAGAGCTGATCTACGTGTACGCACGATATAAATGCTCTCACGTTACCGTGAATGAGATGTGAGTTGGTGATGATCTATAAAGGCCAGGAGCGCCGACGCGTCTCGAGACTTTTCACCTATAGACGAAACTCCTCACTGTAAAGAAAGCAAAAGAAATTCTTGTGCAGACGGAAATAAAGTGTGCACGCGCGAAATATTTCCGTGTGTGTACGGTGATCATACACACATGAAAAACTGACACTTGTACATTAGCACGTGCAGGTGAAATTTATTTTTAAATTTCTATTTATTGATTTTATTTATTCATTTTTATTGATGCAATGATTCATAACAACTATCACGCACATCACTACAACATACATCACGTATATACTAAATGGGTAAATTAACAGCAGCAAAATAACCTAAAATAACAAAATGAAATTCAAACAGACAAACAATAGATCCATAAATATGATTATTTAAAAAAAAAATACAGTGATAGTAGATATTGGAATATGAAATGAACTCCAAAGCTCCAGATATCTCAGGAAAGTATTGCTCTTCTTATCGTTTATCATTTTAAGGGAGGTGAATTCAATTTTTCATTTTCATTTTAAAAACCAACTTATTTTAAAAACCAACAATCTAGGAATCGAATTAGAAATGTAATTTTTATGAATAAAATCTCGACTTAAGATCTGAATCTTTATTATTACGTTTTTGTCAAAAATGGAGATTCCATTAAGAATCAAGGCAGAGTCTTTTTACACTTGTCTGCAAAGCAAAGAGGACTTCATCAATAGTAACAAGCCAGATGAGACTGATTGACACAGAGGTCATATCAAGTCAAAGCTGACTGATGTAGCACTTTTTAGAACAAGTCGCAAAGCAGCTTTAGAGAAAAATCCAGGTCAGAGCCACCATGAGCGGCGGACGGCCACTGTTAATAAAAATAAACATAAAAATAGTAAAATTCGAGAATAAAGTCGTAATGTTTTGAGAAAGAAAGTCGTAGAATTACGACATTAAAGTGGCATTAATACCAGGAAAGGTCGCAGTATTGTGGCCAAAGGCTTTGCGAAGTGAAGCAGCGCCTCCTCGTGTTAAATGAGGGGTGGTGAGTTGGTGGAGTTCTACTTTCATATCGATTCACCCATAAAGAAACACTCAGTCTCCCTGTCTCTCCTGCACATCAGCACCAGCCTGTTATTAGGATAAGAACCGGTTGAAACGGCTGAGCAGGAAACTGTGTTCATCTAGAATAAAGAGCCAGACGGACTCGGAGGAAACTGTCTGTCTGTGTTGTTGAAGGAGAATCTCAAGGAGGGTCGTCTACACGGCTATCGGGGCTCCATCTCCCCCCATTCAAAGAGGGCATGAAGTTTCACAGACAGTGAGAATGATGATCAACATGATCCACAGAGAGACAGGAGTGAGTGGAGCTCCGGCGCCAGTACAGCAACCGAGACCCCAACGCGTTATGGCAGCCCTCCTACAGTACAGCAACCGAGACCCCGACACATTATGGCAGCCCCCCTACAGTACAGCAACGAGACCCCAACGCATTATGGCAGCCCCCCTACAGTACAGCAACTGAGACCCCAACGCGTTATGGCAGCCCCCCTACAGTACAGCAACCGAGACCCCAACGCGTTATGGCAGCCCCCCTACAGTTAGACCACTTTATTCTCCAAATATTACGATTTTTTTCTTGAAATATTACAACTTTTTCTCAAAATAGTCGGCCCTTCATCAGTGGTCACAAGACACTGCCCACAGGACACTGTTGGCTGGATATTTTTGGTTCTCAGTCCAGCAGCAACTCTGAGGTGTTTAAACACTCCAGCAGCACTGCTGTGTCTGATTGGAATCACCATTGGAATGATGTGCTGCGAGAAACTGAAGAAGAATTTAATATCATCTGCCAAGAAAGTGAATCTGAGGAGAAGATGACATTTCAACAAAACCACAATTCCAAACATGCAGCCAGAGTAACTCAGGACTGGTTTCTGAAAAGGTGAAGGTGCTTTCAAGGCCTAGCCAATCTCCTGACCGGAGTCTCACTGAGAGTTTAAGGAGGACCATCAGTGAGATTGTAGTAATCTTGGGGAATTGAAGACTTTACTGAGAGGAATGGGACCAAAACTGAACCACAGTGCTGCAAAAACGTGAATTATTTCTTACCACAAACGTTTTGAAGCTGTAATTGCCAACAGCAGCTTTGCAATAAAGTACTTTGGTATCTGAATACTTTTCCCCAATCATTTTTAACCTGTCTTATGCTTATGAATACTAGGGCTGAACCCAAACATCCAAATATCCAGATCTTTATTAGTTGGGTAGGTATTCAGTTTTTAATATTGGGACTCTGATTTTTTTTTTTTTATTGTAGATTTTATTAATTTGAATTTTTAGATTTATCAATAAAGGCAAACTGCAAAATATAACTGAGGTTATTGTCCATGACAGTTTCATTTTTAATTTGCTCACAGGGGCATCAAACATGGAGAAGAAACACAGCCCAAATCCAATTCAGACTTCAAATTCAGAATTCCCAACTGAGGAAGACTACCCTGGTACGAGGAAAATGATTCTTTGCACAAGCAAAACGCCTCTTGCAGAGAACTACGGGCACAAGGAAAACCACCCTTGCAGAATAAAGTCTGGTTATGACGTCACATGCACAGACACGCCCCTGCGCGAAAGCTCCAGGCCTCTGTCCAGAGCCGGTTTATAAGGAGCCTGGCCACTTCCTTTTTATATCAAAAACGGGGCTGCTAAACAGCAGAGGGCACCCGCGAGTCAGTCCTCAATTAATGGGAGTGAATGGAGCTCAACAGCTAAAAACGAAATAAATAGTTTCTAATCTCTCGCCCAGAACTTTCCTTTAGTTTTAGACAGTAGAAGGATGTATTTCACTAAAAAAACAAAGAAAACTCACCTGTATGTTTCCTTTTTCTACAGCAAACGGGTTTTGGGCAGCAGGACGCTAAAATTACTGCTACTGAGTGCTGATTGGTTGGTGAGCAAAGCAGCTCATTGGCTGTTCACACTCACAGACATCATGAATGTACATGAGGAGCCGTTTTAAACTCCTATAACTCGAGTTTAAAAGCTCTTAAAAATATAACAGCGGTGTTAAAATGTTTTATGCTGCTCTGTGTTCAGGAAATGATTGTATTCTTTAAAAATATTAAAAATGTTTAAGCATTTATAAACTATGATTTTGCTGAAATGTTACATCATAACCCATTCATTTTGGACTCACTCGGGAGCGCCCTCTAGCGTTTGAGAAACCCAGGAGACATTACAGTGACATAATTCTCCTCTCTACAAGTTCTCTGCATCTGTCCATCACCACACGAAAAACTACACAGCGCTGCCAACGTGACGCAGAACAGGAACATGGAGACTTTTCAAGAGGGCCACCTAGGATAGGAGAATATCATGGCGCCTCTGAATAGGTGCCGCAAATAAAATGCATCTTCGTCCCAAGCTACGCGCACCAATTCCATCCTCATATGATTGGATACTACTGATTTCTGGAACTGTGTTGTGATTGGCTGGCTGTCAGTTGCTGCATATAAAAAACCAGGAACAGGACTGTAGCACAGCTTGTGCTACCCTGGGCTCAAGGAGGACGCAGGAGCCAGGGTTCAAGTTCACAGCAGGCATGCAACTTTAATTTTCATTCCAAACAACCAAACAAAGCAAACAAAACCACAACCAAACCTGGCCACTTTTTGGTGGGCCGGGCAGCAGAGTTCGGGAGTCGCATCCCGCCTTCGTGCCTCTTGTGTCGTTGTTGTCGCCCCCTCTCTGGCAGCTGACGTCCTCCTCCTGCCATCACTCACGTCTCTCAGCAGTGTTGGGGATTCGCACACCGTCCCCCACACCCTCACGGTTCTCCTCTCCCCACCGTCCTCACTTGGAGTTTGGCCGCCTTCTTGCCGGCTCTCGCGGCCGTTGTTGGGGCCCTGGGGGGACGGCGCATGCCATAAGGACTTTCACTATAGAAGACCTTCAGAGTTGAGATATGTGCAGGACTGTTTTTACCGTCCCGCTTCCGCAAGATTTCAGCACGCTCCCGCAGAATTAGGAATCATTTGTTCCGCTCCCACCCACGCAGTTCCGTCAAGGTGAACTGATATCCAATATCTGACACAGTCTACAGATACATTATTCTCTGCTGCAGTAACATGGCAATCATGGTCATCAAGCTCACTGTGAGTAACTTCACCAAACGGCATTTATATCCAGTAAACACAAAGCAGGAATTAAACCACAGAGCGGTTATTTTTGGTGTTTTGCTTGGCAGCTGCGGCCGTCGGAGTGAACGCTCCGCCATCTCTCGCATGCTGGCTTGAGCAATGCAGCAGCGTGAGCACTACAGCAGAAATGCGCCAGCCTTTCATACATACAGAATTTGTGCTGTGGAGCAGCCAGAAAGTTATACAGACATTCCTGTTTCCAGACGGACAAATAGTCACATCAGTCACTCTGCTAAAAAAAAAGAAATTAATAAAAGTGCATGGTAAGTTTGTTTATCCTCAACAGCATTCTGACTTTTGCCTAATCACAAGTTTCAAGCCTGTAGACCAACCAGGAAATCTGTCTGCAGCACAGAATGTTTAACTAGTATTTTGTCATGAATTAAATTCAATTTAAAATTAGCATTTTTTTTAGTTTGTATACAGTTTTTTTAGTGAATGTTGCTGCAATGCCGGGTCTATTGTGTGAATCAGGCCTAAGCTAGGAGAATTTGCACATTGTTCATGTGATCTGTAGCTTCGTAACTCTTTAGAATTACTTTAATCATTTTATTAGTTTTACTGTTATTCTTTTTGTTTGTATAAATGGTTTAGTGATTGTTCTACTTTATTTTAGGCTATTCTTTAATTTGTGTGACTTTTCTTCATGCATGCTTTGTAACACTCCCGTCTGCAGTGAGCTGGTTACCCACTGGTTTAGCTCAATGCTGAAAATTAGTCTCACCGTGCAAGATATTGTGGCGGGTCTAGCGGAAACCCGTGGGAGTGCAGTCCACCCACACAATAGCACTAGCTGAGATGCCTAATTACTTCATTGTGTTTTTGTGAATGTTCAGTAATCCTGATACAGTCTGTGCCAGTCTGACACCAAGTCATATTATTTTAGGAACTCAGGTTAA